ATATATAAATATTATTTAGATTAATTTATATATATATATAAAATATAATTAAATAATAATATATATAATCATTTATGAGCACTAGATCTAGATTATTAGTATTGTTTATAACTTTCAATTGCTTAATCAACATTATATGAAGGAAAGTAATCACTAAATTGATTACTTTTTTCGAAAGATTAGTAAAATTCAATGTTGGGCATTTCTAAGGGATTCCTCATGAACTATTTAGCGGTTTCTCCTGTAAATTTAGATGAGGCAATTGCATATTTAGAAGTAGGTTTTTCTTATTGTTATTATTGAACTTAATATTCTCCTTTATCAGATTCAGAGATACAAGAATTAGATTTACGATCTGATCTTTATGCTTTAGTTTATTATTATTACGGAGCAGTTGTATGACATTTTTAATATTTGGAAGGAGTATGTTAAATTTCGGATTCAATTTAATTCTGATATCGTTTTTAATGATAATAGACACTGTCTTATAGTTTAGCTTTTTTTAATTAGATACTAATTAATTCTTCCTTTTCTTTAGGATTATTATTAGGATTAGTTTTACTACCATTACTACTATATGGTAATGAAAATACATTTCCACTAGAATTTTTATCAGATGAGCCATTAAAGTTTTTGCGATTAACCGATGCATCTTTTAACAATTAAGCATATGAACTATGTGAGATTCCACTAGGTGGTTATTATACATATTAAACTGGACTTATATTAGGGATATCCATTAATTGATGTCCTGGTTATTATTATGATTAAATGGATTCTCTTAATGATTATTATGATGGCATATGAGGAGTTTGTTATGATTATTATAATGAATTTTATCTTTCTGAATATGGATTAGTAACTTCACGTAAATAGTGTTATTATTGTATACTAATCATTTCATCTTGATGTCGATGATCTTCGGAGATATCAGATTCAATATTTAATTATTAATACAATAGAGCATTTTCTTCAATTCTTAACATTTATGATTTAGTTCTTTTTTCCTTACTTCTTATTTTCCTTCTTTATCCATTTCTTCCTTAAACTTCATTTGATTAAATGTATTAAACTAAAAATGATTTCTTAGCTACATAATGTACATGATCACATTCATCTATATCATGAAATTTGCCACATGCATAACAACGCATTAAACATAAACTATTAAATTCCTACATTACAATTTAATCTTGCATCATCTTATATTTCTATCTCTCTTAGTAATGATGTTTTATACATTCTTAGAATCTCTCTAAATCTAATTAACCAATCTAACTATATCCTATAGAACTAGCATTGATATTTGAATAACAATTCTTAAAGAATGCCTTGTTATTAAACATCTCTCCTTTATTTAAAACCTTTAATTTGAATTCTCTCCCTTCCTACCCTCCCTCTCTTCTCTAAGATATCTTTACCTCTCCTGATAATATTAAATATAACTATTAATTAGATGTCTCCTATACTAAAATCCTTTAATTTGGATTATAACTCTATTCCTATACTAAACTACAAATCTCTCTCAATGTACTCTCACTAAATGAAGTTTTAAATATTGGTATACTCCATAATAATTTCTTATATCTCTAATATTTAAAATCATCAACATATTACTATGGCAACAACTCCAAATAGTCCAAATCCCCTTTTTTCTCACTCTTTAATTTCCTTAAATAACTATTAATCTTTAATCTTGTATCATTCTCTATTGATGATTCCCTCACTCTCCATCTCTCCCTTCTACTCAATCTTTCTATCCAATATAAATAATATATTAATATCCCAAATCTAATCATATATGTTATAACATTTGCACTCTCTGATCTATAAAATAATACTATAAATTCATCAAAATAATTTATATCCTACTCACTCTCCAATTCTATTATACATAAACCTATAAATTATATCAAATGCAACTCTATCATATAATATATGTATTATGCCCATTTACCTATCACATTCTCCAATTCAAATAAATTCCTCCTTATTTTACGTATGCTTACTATATGTAATAATTGTATCACACCTATTCTCTCCTATAATAAACACAAAATGACTGGAACTAAACTTATCACATCATATATCAATTAATTTTTACAATATCTTGAAATCAATACTTCCAATATTTACACTTCCTATCCATTTCCATATTGCATATATAAAATCTAATTCAAAATATCTATCAACCAAAACACCATATGAATCACCTAAAATATTGGCTCCTTATATATCCCATCCTCTATATCTACTAACATTATTGTTATAAAAAAACACAAATAACAACTATATATACCATTACTTACATAATAGTATACATTTTATTTACGAGGCCTTAACCACTTTTCTGAAGACTTATATAAAGAAAATTCAGCAGCCTTATCCTAAACAAAATCCAATTAAAATGAAGGATTTGTTACACTCGTCTTTGATGAAGCCAATCTACTCCATTAAACATTACTATATGAATTCTATGGCTTTTCGTCTATTACTATCTCTACATTGCTAACATTATTCTTAGTTTTTTTATGCTATTTTTACGGTTCAGGAGTTATCTACATTGACTATTCCTTTATGCTTGGCTCTTCATTTATTAAAAGTAAATCCTTTAAGTCATTTTGAGGAGGTTTTTCAGGTGCCAGTTATGGGGTAACACTTGAAGTTGGAGGAGAACGTAACATATCTTAAGCTTGATTAGATGGTTTTCGCACTTATAGTTAATGTTAGTTAACAACAGTCATTTTTTATACAATAGGTTGTATTTACATGTTGATTGAATCATCCATTGATATTGACATAGATCGTGAGGAGGAACCTTACTATCCATTCAAATGAGGTTGCATAAGCATGAAATTAGGATATTTAAATTACTGCTTGTATATACATTAAGGGTATTATAATATTTCAATTTAGAAAACATGTAATATTATATTTTATAATATGAGAAAGTGTCTAACAAAGTACTGTCCTAAGAATACGAATTTTATTTGGTCAGAGATAGATTTCTAATTGAAAACATATATATATAGAATAAGTGATATGTTTAAAGATCTTCAATGTTAATTGCATGATCATGATTCAATTATTGGAATTTGTATTGATTTAAATTGTGAAGAGTATCAACATATCTTATGGTAATAGAATTGAATAACTAGTTTAAAATGTATAATAAATGATCATCAACATGAGTCTCAGAATATTTTGGTGATCCAAGAAATTATAAATAGAAGAGAGAAACTCTTTAGATTAATTTAATATTTAAAGAATAAGGAAAATAGCTATTGTTAGATAAACAAAAGTATTTAGATATTAAATGTAGATGAATACAATTGGTTATAAGATTGTATACTAAATGGTAAATAGAATCCATACCCTTGTTTGACATTTGAAAATATATTTTTGACTGTATAGGATACATTTTTATCAAATATGGATGACCTGAAATCTTAAGTGGATAAAAGTGTACATTCATTGAAATGTAATACTGAGAAATACAAAAAGATTTAATAATTCAAATAGAGAATGGATGATATAATAAGGACTACATAGTCTTAAATTTATTTAAATTTTTAATCAATTATGCAAGATGAAAGTAATGAATAGAAATCAACAGACAATATATCAATGCCTTAAACAATCACTTTAAACTTATCATAAATAGATTAATTAGGAGATACCTAATAATTATTAATATTAGATAAAGATAGTTTTGAAAATTTAGAAAATACTTAAAATATAAAAATGATTCAGAGTAATTTAACAAGTACTTCAAAATAGAAATTAGATGATACGATATGTCCTTTAATGCCAACACTTTAATTTTTAGATAAAACTACAAAAAGAGGTTTTTTAGGTAAGGCTAAAGTCAAATTTGAAGAGGGAGCCAAGATTATTTCAATGTAAAAGGATACAATTATTATATCATAAGAGTTGTATTCTCAAGATAATGTAGAGATACGTATACGTATACTCTCATTTCTTCAAGGATGTGTTCATTTTGGATATGTTGAATAAACGACTTGTGAATTGACTAAAAATATTAATAATGTTGGTAATTGGGCTTGTTTATATAATTAATGTAATGATCATCCAAAAATGGAGAAATTATAAGATTTTTGCATATAGATTGACAGTATTATAGGATTGAATTTAAACTTTATAGAAGATATTGTTAGTCTTAGATTATTTACAAGAGATGGAATATTGATTTTATATTAGAAAAAGGGATCTTTAATGAAATAAAAGCAACATATTTATATATCATGTTTAGAAGGATTAGTTAAATTAGAAGTTTTAAATTGATTAATTAATTAATAATCATTATTATTTTAATTGAGTTCTACATCTTTTAGATTTTATTACTAATTAGATTCATCCATAACTCATTTTTATTAATTTCTAATAAATTATATCATAAATATAAACAGATTGAATATGAAATANTTGTTAGATAAACAAAAGTATTTAGATATTAAATGTAGATGAATACAATTGGTTATAAGATTGTATACTAAATGGTAAATAGAATCCATACCCTTGTTTGACATTTGAAAATATATTTTTGACTGTATAGGATACATTTTTATCAAATATGGATGACCTGAAATCTTAAGTGGATAAAAGTGTACATTCATTGAAATGTAATACTGAGAAATACAAAAAGATTTAATAATTCAAATAGAGAATGGATGATATAATAAGGACTACATAGTCTTAAATTTATTTAAATTTTTAATCAATTATGCAAGATGAAAGTAATGAATAGAAATCAACAGACAATATATCAATGCCTTAAACAATCACTTTAAACTTATCATAAATAGATTAATTAGGAGATACCTAATAATTATTAATATTAGATAAAGATAGTTTTGAAAATTTAGAAAATACTTAAAATATAAAAATGATTCAGAGTAATTTAACAAGTACTTCAAAATAGAAATTAGATGATACGATATGTCCTTTAATGCCAACACTTTAATTTTTAGATAAAACTACAAAAAGAGGTTTTTTAGGTAAGGCTAAAGTCAAATTTGAAGAGGGAGCCAAGATTATTTCAATGTAAAAGGATACAATTATTATATCATAAGAGTTGTATTCTCAAGATAATGTAGAGATACGTATACGTATACTCTCATTTCTTCAAGGATGTGTTCATTTTGGATATGTTGAATAAACGACTTGTGAATTGACTAAAAATATTAATAATGTTGGTAATTGGGCTTGTTTATATAATTAATGTAATGATCATCCAAAAATGGAGAAATTATAAGATTTTTGCATATAGATTGACAGTATTATAGGATTGAATTTAAACTTTATAGAAGATATTGTTAGTCTTAGATTATTTACAAGAGATGGAATATTGATTTTATATTAGAAAAAGGGATCTTTAATGAAATAAAAGCAACATATTTATATATCATGTTTAGAAGGATTAGTTAAATTAGAAGTTTTAAATTGATTAATTAATTAATAATCATTATTATTTTAATTGAGTTCTACATCTTTTAGATTTTATTACTAATTAGATTCATCCATAACTCATTTTTATTAATTTCTAATAAATTATATCATAAATATAAACAGATTGAATATGAAATACAGATAATCCATTTCTTTTTAAATGTATATAGATAGACTAAGATTTTCTTAATACTACCAAGACATTAAAATATATACAATAAAATATAAATTAGACTTAAGATCCCAATATACTAAATTTAAAAAATAATACTAATTGATTTAAACTAATTTATTTATTATTAAAATAAATGTTAGCTTAACTCATTACTTTGAATAATTAGAGTTCTGAATCTTTAAATATTAATAAAGCAATCTTTAAAATTGGTAGAGATCCAACAAATGATAAATAACTATTAGATAATAAAGTAAGTTCTTTTCATTTATCTATTGAATTGGATGAAATGTAATTTACATTAATTGATAACTCAAGTAATGGCACTTTTTTAAATGGAAAAAGAATTGGTAAGGGAAATAAAGTTATTATTCGAAATGGTGATATTATACATATTTTACCTGTTGAGAAGGTTTAAAAAAATGAAATTATTGGTTTCCAATTTATTACAGAAAAGATTACAGATTCCCGATTAAATTCTGATAAAATAACATCTAAAAGCTAATTAAATAATAATTAATAGAAAGATGTCAATGATGAAATATAATATAATAATCATAATGATTATATTGATGAATTAGGTGATGAACTTTAATGCAATATTTGTAATGATTATTTATTTGAAGCTGTAACTATTAATCCATGTAATCATCATTTTTGTGGAGCTTGTCTTTCAAATTGGTTAGGTAATTAAAAATAGCATAATGATTGTCCAAATTGTAGAACTAAAATTAAATCTATTATGATTGCTAGATTAATGAATAATTTAGTTGAAAAATGGTTAAAAAATAATCCATCTTAAAAAAGAGCAGATTCTTTAATAGATAAAATGAAATAAGAAAATATAATTTATAAGAATCCAAATTATTATCTTAACTTTGAAAAAGAATATAAATAAAATGAATAAATATAATAGAATGATTATGAAGAATTTTTAAGTAATGATGAAAATTTTGATGATAATAATCCAGATTTTTAATAGAATGAAATATTGAATCCAAATAATTTCTTATTTGTTTAAGCATTTAATCCATAATTATTTAATCCTCTTATCTAATAATAATAGTAAGTAGTGTAACCTATACAAACTTGTAAAAGTTGTAATGGATAAGTTTGGAAACAATATTAATGCCATGATATTTAAATACATATAGGATGTTCATCATGTGGTAGATTGATACCAAAAAGATTATTAAGTATGTATTATATCAATTATTATAAGATGATGAAGAAAATGAACAATTATAAATGTTTTGTTGTATTTGCAAAGTCTATGATTGTAAATTCTATTATGGAGATTGTACAAAAGCTAATTTAAATAAACTAATGTTAGTTAAAGATATTGGTAATAATTTTTAGATTCCACTTAATTTCATTAATGATGTAGAATACAATAGAATTTTGAATCATCTCTAAGGAAAATAACACAATATAATCTATGAATTCATGATGGAACATTATATTAATAAAGGAGACTTTTATTTTGAACAAAATAAATCAACTTTCAATTTTCCATTACAAGATATTAATGTGAAAATTACTCCTAATACAGTAATTGAAATATATTCTACTTACTTAGCCTGTATGTTGGTAATGTCATAAGAAATTAATGAATTTCATAATCTTTAGATATGTCCAATGTTGGAAATATGATGAAGCCCTTTTCTCATCGACAGATTGTTTCTATGGAATTAATTGTAGAACATAACATCGAAACAAATTTCATGCAAATAAATATAATCATGTTTGTGAATAAACAAAGTTTGATTGAAATTAAATTAAAGTATTTATATAAATAACCGAAATGAATTAAATACAAATAGAGGCATTAAGTGAACTCACAATCAATCTTTTAAATGTACATCGAACATCAATATATAGACTCTTAGATTATAACTGAAACCAGAAATTAGTACAATCGAATCATTCAGAAATCTTATCCTTTTATTTTAAGGAACTGAAGAATGGATCTAAATTAATAATGTATTATAATTCATTATGAAAAGAGTGCTCCATGGAGTAGATTAGTTTAATAATTATTAAAACCTAAGAGATTGATAAAGTTAATATAAAATCATTATAACTATGATCTCTCATAAAATGTATACCTATTAAATTATGAAATATTGGATGCATAACCTAAAAATGAAATTGAAGAAATAATTAATAGAATCGTTTGTGCTTTAATTAGTTATCATTATTAAGTTACTATACCTGATCCACCATAAGTTAGTTAAGTGAGTAGATTCACTTAATAAAATTCATAATCTTCGTTAATTATCAATGAATAAAATCAAGTCAATCATTTCACAACTAGTTCTTCAATATCTACTATGATTCCACTTGAATTCTAAAATGAATAATCTGGAGAATCATAAAATACAAGAAGAGCTTAATATATACTAGATAAACTAACAGATTAAATTAACAATAGTGTTGTTGGACATTATAATAAGTTATTTCAATATTGATTATTCACTTAATATATATATATATAAATATAATATTACTAATCACACTAATTTAATTTAATTATTATAAATATATGAAAAAGCGATTCTAGGATAAAGTTTGTCTTGTCACTGCTTCATCAACTGGAATTGGTTTAGCAATCAGTGAATAATTTGCCAAAGAAGGAGCTACTGTTATTATTAGCTCTAGAGATAAAAAACATATTGATGCAGCTGTTGAGAAAATTAGAAATTCTGGAGGAAAAGCTGAAGGATATCCTTGTCATGCTGGAAAAATTGAAGACCTATAAAAGATGATCTAATTTATCAAAGAAAAGTTTGGTCGCTTAGATATCCTTGTACCAAATGCTGCTGTCTCTACACATTTTGGATTTGTATTAGACATGACACCATAATAATATGATAAATTGTTTGAAGTAAATCTTAGAGGGATTTACTTTTTAATACAAGCTGCTTATCCATTACTCAAAGTAGCTATCATTTTCATTATTTAAGGAGTCCAAAGATTCCAATATTGTTATCATATCCTCGATTGGTGGATATGAATCAGAAACAGGTTTAGGAATGTACAGTGTTACAAAAACAGCCTTATTAGGAATGACTAAAGTTCTGAGTAAAGATTTAACTCCAATCAGAGTTAATTGCTGTGCTCCTGTATTTAATAAGAATCATTTATCTAGGGCTTAATAAAAACAAAGTTTAGTTCAGTTCTATGGGAAGGTAAAGAATAAGCAGCTGCTGAATTCATGAGGGTTGAAAGACTTGGGGTCCCAGAAGATATAGGAAATGCTGTTGCTTTTCTTGCTTCATCAGAAGCTAGCTATGTCAATGGAGAAACACTAATTGTGGCTGGAAGAGCATCTCCAAGATTATGAGAGTCTAAGTTATTAAATTATTTAGTCAAATCATTAGAGTTTCTTTCGACTTTCTATTATTTTTTATACTGAAAATATTGCCTCTTCTCTAAATTACAGATCAACATCTATTAGATTTTAAGGAAGACTTTCTTCTTCATCTTAGCTACATGCTTCCTCTTCTAATCTAAATGACTACATCTTTGTTTTTTTCGCCAGTCTAGTCTTAAAAGAATTCCCATTATAAACTCCTTTTTATTTTTTTTTCTTTAGCTTGATTGTATTTGTTGTACTTATATTTGATAAACTTTCAAATATTCCTTTCAATTCTTGTTCTGAATTGAAAACACTCTAAAGAGTATCTAAACTTTCTGATTCTTCTTCCTATTACTTTTATGTGTAGTAGCGATTAGCTTAAACTCTAATACTTTTAATTTATTAAATTTTTGGCTCCTATTCAACGTTCTTGAAATCAAACTATTCTACATTAGATTAATTATTCATTATAACTATTAATCATTCATTATATATAAAAAAATAAATATTAATCTACCAATGACCTTATTCCTTTTTCATTCTATAACAAATATTCATGCTTCTCTAAAATAGCAAGGTTTTTTCTAAATTAATAAGATTTTTAAAGTACAATTCAAATTTTCTAGTTTTGCATTTTTCTAATTTAATTTTTGGTTCTAAAATTGAACCGTAATTTATAACATTTTATTTCAAAGAATAAATTTTTTAGGTTTCATTCATAGAAATCAAATATTTAGATTAAAATTGTTTAATATTGATAAAATAATTTTATAAATTTATGCTTTCAAAAACTATTCAAAATTATAATTTCTTCTGAACGAGGAAATTCAAAAATTGACCATAATTTTTCTTAAGCTAAGTATTTTTTCATAATAAATTATTTCGAAAATTGATATTCTAATTATCCAACTTATTATTGTATTTTTAAAGAAAATGCAAATGTTTCACTAGGAATTAATTCAATTAAGATATTCTAACATTTACTAACTAAAATATTGATTTCATGATCAAATGATATATTAGTGTTTCTAAATTTTCCAATTTAATCATCTATCTTTTCTAAATAAATTCTTAGCAGTAACGATAGAATTGGGACTTCATCAATTAATCTTATAAAGTAAATGTGTAAATATTTATCAATTAAATTTTGAATAATCTAGTTTACTTATCTTTAATAATGAGAATCCTTTTTTATATATTATAACACATTTTATTTAAGTTGGTAAATATTTGATATGATAGGAATGATGGCTTTTGTAAAAAAATATTAATGTTTCAATTTCTGAAAAATTTATAATTACAACAATTTAGTATCGTAAAAAAAAGTATAAGCTAGAGTAGTAATAAAAAAACTTTATATATATTCCCAAAAATCATTTATTCTTTCAAATTCTTAAAATCTTCTTAATTTCATATCATCAATAAATTTATTGAAATCCAACTTTTAATGTCCCATAAGCATTGAATACTGAATAGGTTCTCTTAAATGAATTTAAAGTTTATTATTGATAATCTAAGAGGAAAGGGATATATTTAAATGTAGATTTGAATTATTATTAACTAATCTGAATGAAAAGATGCCTAATTCTTTAGTAGGAAGGAAATCAAAAAATTAATGATTGATTAGAAAATTTGAGGCTTTATGGTATTCAACCAGCATATACTATATAATTTATGAAGGAAGAAAAGTGTTGTATAATATTTCACTTATAGTCCAAATATTTTTCTATTAAACTAATAAATTAAGATTAAGGGGTGATGCCTTTAGAAACTTAGAATTAGATGATCCATCTAATAGTTCACTCATAATCAAATATATGTGAATAACATCCTCATCCTTCTTCATTAAACAATTACCAATAATATTGCTAAGATAAAATTAACAATTCATCATATTTCCAAATTATATGCTGAACTCTAAATCTGTAGGAGAATAACTCATTTTTTAAATTACTATTTCTTTATGTTCCCCTTCTCTCAAAAACATTCTAACCATCATTTATAAGTGTTTTTCAATCTTCGATTTTAAAGAATCTATCAATAAAAAAGCATCATAATCAATTAATTAAGCTTTTTAAAAACTATGTGATTAAGGATTTTTACCTAAATGAAACACCTCCTTCAATTTTATTTACTACATAATTAATTTCAGTCTTTTTGTCTGTCACACTATAAGGAAACTCTCTAAAACTTATCAGTTCTTTAGGGACTTCTTTAATCTTATTTTCTATCTGAAAAAAACGCTAATCTATAATAGATATTATTAATTAATGTTTTGAATCACTTATATTTATTTTCATATTAATAATAAAATAATCACTTTTATGAATTTCATTTATTTATTCCACAAATCCATTGCACTTCTGATCATTTTTAGCAGAATTGTCTTTTTCTTATATTAATTTGTTTATTAATCCATTATTTCTACACAAGTACATATTTTCAAATTCATTAACCTATTAAATTTTATCTCGTATATCTTTATCATTTTTTTTCATTTCTTCTCTTCCTTCATATCTTCCTAATTATTAAAAAATAATATGATTCTATCTGAAAATAAAAATAGAGATTTAATTTCCATATAATATATTAAATTGATAATTGTGATATTTAAATTTTTCTACAACCTAAAAGAACATTATTAAATTTATTAAATTTGATTATTTTTTTATTATTACACAACTTCAATCTCTTTTTACAAAGTCTAAATGATATTTTTAACAATTTATTACAATTTTTAATATTATTTAATAATGTATAATAATTTGGTTAATCATAAATTAGAAATTGAAGGTTTAAAGTTTGTTTATTAACATGAATAAAGACTTTGTGAGAGAGAATATGACTCTGTTAAAATGATACTTGCTTAGTCTGAAAAAGAAAAATAATAAGCTCGACAGAAGTACCATCTGTTAAATTAGAAATATCAAGAAAAAAAAATAATTGATATTTTAGATGAATAATCATTACAATCTAAAATTAAAAATGATGGAACAAGACTATTTAAAACAGCAAAATATGCCATCTTAGGTTTAGAGAGAAAATAGGATGAATTTGAATTACCAAATAAAACTGAAAAAATTTAAACAGAAAAATCTTAAACAGCAGACCCTTAAATTTAAACATTTTAAGCTTATGATTCACAGATTAATGCTAAATTTTTAGAAGATGAATAATCAAGAATTTATTAATCAGAAGATGAAAAAAATTATTCCTAAAGTCTTATAAATTTTATAAATGATTTTGAAAATGAAAGAAAAATCTACACAACTTAAGAACGAGTTCCTGATTATACAGATATACCTTAAAAATAAATTAAATCATAAGGTCAATCTGCTACAATTACATTTACATATAAAGAATAACCAGAAAATCAAATTTCAGCTTAAAGTCAAGAAAAATAAATTGGTGAAAATGCTTATTTTCACTTTCATTAAAATACAAGCAGAACAGATATGGATAATAACATAGATTAATAATTAGAAATACTTTTAGATGACATATAAGGAATAGTAGATAAAAATACAAAATAAGCATAATAAACTCTAATAACTCATAAGCTAAGACTTTAAAATGAGAGACCTTAAAAAACCATCAATTTTTAGAGAAAAGCTAATTTTCATCCTGTAAACTTTGTGTAAAACTCATTATAACAAGAAGAACCCTTAACTAAAAGAGCTATTAATAATTCTAAATAAGTGGATAACTTAGATTAATTAATACTCGATCTCTGCAATTGATGAATTATATTCTCCTATAAGAATTTTATTACTTAAATAAATATTGATTATATTATATTTATTTGAATTTATTTTATATAGGTTTATTATAATTGTTAATTAAAAAGCCTTCTCTAAATTTATCAATACAAAACCAAAAGAATAATTTTAGAAATGTAAATCACAAAACTTCTATATCACTTTATGTTGTATTAAATGTCTTCCATATAAAAAGCAAAGATATTTTTCCCTTAAAATTTTCTCATATATGTATTAAACTTTCAAATTTTATTTTTTTTTTCTTCCAAACATTTCAAAAATAAATCAATTGATTTAAAATTTAAAAAAAATAGTTTTCATCTTAAACAAACAAAAAAAATTTTCCGAAGTTAAATGTCAATTAAATTTGTTTTTCAAATTTCTATATGATTTACTCCTTAAAAAAATTTAGTTAATATAATATTTATTTTAATTAACCTTCTTATATTAACAATCTATGATAAAAATATCAGAAAGTTCAATAAAATTATAAAATAAAAAATAACTCTTTTTAAATACTTTTATTAGTGAAAATAAATTTTCATGCTTTAGGAATTATTGATTGAGACGTTAGATTTTCTTTTTTTGAAAAAATTTAGTAAATAAAATTAAAATTTAACTTTTTTCAAAATTAAAAGTATTCCATATTTCCAGTGATTGTCAAGTATTTGTTAATTTATGTAATATATGATAAGGAGCATATTAACAAAAAATAGCATTTCATTGGTTTATAAATAATTTTTAGAAATTTTATATATTTTTGATATTCTTGGAAAATCAATAATTTTTGAATATAATTATAATGTAAAATTGGCCTCTCTAAAAAAATTTAACAACCCTAATTTAATATGTGGTTTAAATTTTTTAACTAAAAAAGGTTTATTTCTTTAATGAAAAAAATTTTTATAAAAATTATATATTTTTAACACATTTAAAATAAAAAAGAGATCTTGNTAATACTCGATCTCTGCAATTGATGAATTATATTCTCCTATAAGAATTTTATTACTTAAATAAATATTGATTATATTATATTTATTTGAATTTATTTTATATAGGTTTATTATAATTGTTAATTAAAAAGCCTTCTCTAAATTTATCAATACAAAACCAAAAGAATAATTTTAGAAATGTAAATCACAAAACTTCTATATCACTTTATGTTGTATTAAATGTCTTCCATATAAAAAGCAAAGATATTTTTCCCTTAAAATTTTCTCATATATGTATTAAACTTTCAAATTTTATTTTTTTTTTCTTCCAAACATTTCAAAAATAAATCAATTGATTTAAAATTTAAAAAAAATAGTTTTCATCTTAAACAAACAAAAAAAATTTTCCGAAGTTAAATGTCAATTAAATTTGTTTTTCAAATTTCTATATGATTTACTCCTTAAAAAAATTTAGTTAATATAATATTTATTTTAATTAACCTTCTTATATTAACAATCTATGATAAAAATATCAGAAAGTTCAATAAAATTATAAAATAAAAAATAACTCTTTTTAAATACTTTTATTAGTGAAAATAAATTTTCATGCTTTAGGAATTATTGATTGAGACGTTAGATTTTCTTTTTTTGAAAAAATTTAGTAAATAAAATTAAAATTTAACTTTTTTCAAAATTAAAAGTATTCCATATTTCCAGTGATTGTCAAGTATTTGTTAATTTATGTAATATATGATAAGGAGCATATTAACAAAAAATAGCATTTCATTGGTTTATAAATAATTTTTAGAAATTTTATATATTTTTGATATTCTTGGAAAATCAATAATTTTTGAATATAATTATAATGTAAAATTGGCCTCTCTAAAAAAATTTAACAACCCTAATTTAATATGTGGTTTAAATTTTTTAACTAAAAAAGGTTTATTTCTTTAATGAAAAAAATTTTTATAAAAATTATATATTTTTAACACATTTAAAATAAAAAAGAGATCTTGAGAAAAAGGTAATCATACTTAACTAATTTTAAAATTAGTCAAGTAATATTATTTAATTTTAATTATTTATTTTATTATGATTAATATTTAAGAATAAGACTTTTCAAGGGAAATATAATTCAACAATGATAATGATGTTTTCCGTCCATTTCGCCATTCCCCTATCACCAAATAACTAGATATGTATTAATAAGAAAAATCAGATATTCTTGATATATCTGCTTCAATGCAAGACTTTTCTAATCAGCAGGTAGCGGAAGAAAGAAAAAAATAAACCAGAAAAACTTCTTTTAAAATATTTGGTTTATTGAAAGTAGACAAATTGGTTTAAGTATTTAAAGAACGACTTATGAGGAAAGCTTATGTATACAATAATTAAAGTCGATAAATTACAGAAAAATTTATCATAGAAAAATATTTACTTAAGTAACTTATTTTTAAGTACCTATAAATAGATAGCCTTTTATTTTTAGCAAATATTTGCATTTAAAAAAATGCTAAATATCAGTATTTGATTAAAGCAGCATGCTTATTACATTTTGGGAGTTAATTCGTACTCTATCACTTATTTTGATTTTATGGATTTATCCATTTGTATGGAGTTTTGAAATTGGTCAAGAAGATAGTTTTTAATTTGTAATTCTTTATACTTTAATATATTTTTCATTAGATATTTTGCTTAGATTAAATACATAAATAGCAATTTAAGGGAACGTAATTAATGTGTTTATAAAAATAGATAATCAATGATCGATTTTTAATTTTGAAGTAATATTTTAAGAATGATTTAATATTGGATTTTTTACTCATATTTTCAGTTATAATCCTTAGTACATCTATTCCTGATAGTGAAGATTATGAAGATGTTTTTATTGCTACAATATTTTTATGCTTATGTTGTCTTGTAAGTTATTCAAAATTGAGTGAGTAAATAGGAAAGTTGTAATAATAAACTCATATAAATTAAATATATAGAGAATATCTAAATTTGATTACATTATTATTTTCTATAAGTTTATTTGCACATTTATTGGCTTGTATCTGGCATTTTGTTGGTTCTCATAGTGGATAATCATTAAGTTCAAGTTGGCTTATTGAAAAGGGAATTGATTAATAAACTATACTAATAAAATATTGTTATTCTTATTATTGGGCAACAGTTACAATGATAACTGTTGGATATGGAGATATTACACCATAAAATTATATTGAGACAATAATTTGTATAATTTTAATGTTCATGGCTTGTGGTGTTTTTGCTTTTTCAATAAATAAAATTGGATCCATTTTATCTACAATAAATGATCAAAAATCACAATTTATGTAATTTAATTTTCTTTATTAATCTAAGATTCAATCTACATGCGATTACAAAATATATGAGATAACATAATATTCCATTATCATTGCAAGATAGAGTAAGAAGTTATCTTTAATATATGTAAAGTGAATCAATAAATTAGAATAATGAACAAGTATTTAATATTATAATTTTTAGATTGCTTCTATTAAAAATTAATTATCAGTAGAATTAAAAAATGAATTAATGTATATGGTATTTAAACATGTAATTTAAAATTGTAAGCTCCTTCTTAATAATTTTTCAGAAACTAGTTTGAAAGAAATCTCAAAAAAAATAAAACCTTATAAATATTGTCCAGATGAAATAATTTATTCTTAAGATAGTTTTTAAGATATTTCCTTATATTTTATAGATTATGGCCAAATTAAATTAATTGAAACAAAATCATAGACTTAATTAACTATTTTGAATCCAGGAGAACAATTTGGAGAAATTGAATTTTTTACTTAAGTATCCAGAAAATTGACTGCTGTTAGTATTGGATTTACAAAAGTTTATAAAATTAATCGATAAGATTTTATAAATAGTCTTGATAAGGAAGATTTTGAAAAGTTTTATGAAATCAAAGATAAACAATTATAAAATTTATCAATAGAAGGAACTACTTGCCGTGCTTGTAATTCAGATAATCATTAAATAATGGATTGTTCATATTTATTTTATAAACCAGATATTGAGAAATTAATTTTAAATTATAATAGGGCTAAAAATTTAAATAGAAAGAGGTGCGTAAGAACTTAGCATAAAACCAATTCCCTTAAAGATATTAAAGTAATATATGAGTTTTTATTTAAGGGCATACAAAATTAGCAGAAACTATATTATACACATCATTTTTTAGAAGATAAAAATGGTACATATGTTTCTGTAGATTAAGATGGGACTCATCATCAATCAATAACATAAGAACATATTTAAAGCTTTGATGCTCCTTCATAAGAAATATCTATGAATTTAAATTAATAATAGGATAATCTATTTCCTCCATCTTAAATAAAAATATAATAGTAAAAATAGAATGAAAATACCAAAACTGTTTAATTGGCTTTACAACCAAATTAAATTTAGACTTCTATAAAGGATATATAACTAAGATCAAATAAATACGTGAGAGAAAAGTCTTAAAAATCACCAACTCACTTTTTGCAGTATACCTTAAATAGCTCAAATAATGGAGCCTTATATTTTGATAAAGTTTGTGAATTTTAACATTATTTTCCAAACTTTAATAGTTAAGAAGTATTATTAGATTATAACAAAAATAAAAAACAATTCAAAAGAACAAATAAAAAATAAAGATGCAATGACTTCAAGTATTCTATCATTTAAGCATCAGCTTAAAAAAGGATTCTTTTGCAATGAAAATAAAAAATGTCTAATATTTTTATTTACCTATTTATTTTATTTATTGAATATAATTTTAATCCAATAGTAATATTAAGATTATTTTAGTAAAATGAATCGTCTTATGAAATCACTATATATAGTAGACATTCTCTTTAAATTAATTTAATCGCTTCGCATAAAATCTAAAAATTAATTAAATCAAATTGAACTACTCTGAAAAATTTTGACACTTCTTAATTAAAGGGTAGAGAATAAAATTTTATAGATTCGATGTTTAAAACACATTTAGAATCCTCTATTTTTTAAACATATTTGAATGAGGAATAGAAAATATGTAAATTGATAAAGTTATAAAATGGAATGCATTTAACAAATGATAAACTGAAATGGTATTTTAAATCTTATTGATTTGCTAATAGCTTTTATAATTAATAATAAGTGATTGCATTATGAGTAGATAAAAAGAAATAAAGTAACAAAATTATACAGTTAGAAATTGTTTTTGATTATGTTTAAAGATGATAATATTTTATTCTTTAACGATTAGAGTTTAAATTTATAATATGTTTAAATCAGTTTTTGAGAACGTTTCGAAGGGGATTAATTAAGATAAGTGTAATTTGATTAATTTTTATAAGAAAAATGTCAGATGATGAACGTTTGTCTCTGCATTCTTATAATCCAATTTAGGAAGATATTAATAATGATGAAATTGATGAATTTTACAAGGAATTAAGTTTGCAATTTTATGGAGAAGAGAAAAAAAAGAAAGTCTCATTATTGATGTCTGGTTCAACTTAAGTAACAATTATATTAAATCTTAAAGGAGACTAATAAACCTAGTAGAGAAACACTGCCAGAATTTAAGAAAGGTTTCATGTTTACGAAGTAATCATCAAGTCGACCAGGTAGTCCAAAAAGTGGACGTAATTAGGTATAAAGAAAATCACCTAATTAAAAATAACAGAGTAGTCCTACAACTAATAAAATCATTCAAACAAAGAAACTAATTTAATTACTCTAGTCACCTTACAATGTTAAGAATTAGCAAAAGCAGACTTTCTTAAACAAACAGATAGACATGATTAGAAAGATTTAGGTATAAGAATTAAAGGAACATTATTATAAATGAAGTTATATTAATTCTGTTCTCTTTATTTGATTTAATGTATTCAACTTATTCTTCAAATTCTATATCAAAACTTCTTATTTTTAATTTTAACATATGGGTAAAGCACATAAAACTAAGAAATTTGCAACAATTAAGCGTATGATTTCAAAAAAGGATCCAAGATGTTAAAAAAGGCATCTTGAACAACCAAAAGAAGAGAAAAAGAAAGGAATAAATGATGTGGAAATAAAAGAATTGTATTTTTAATATAATTACATAATAGACCATAAGAGCCAAGTCACTTATTTTTTAGACATAATCCAGCTTTAGGACCTCCATATAGAATATTACTTGATACAAATTTTTTAAATTTCAGCATTTCTAATAAACTAGACATTTTTAAAAATACAATGGATTGTCTTTTAGGAAAATGCATTCCATATATTTCTGATTGTGTGATTGCAGAATTAGAGAAGTTAGGATAGAAGACAAGATTGGCTTTAAGATTATCTAAGGATCCTCGTTTTGAGAAATTGACTTGTGATCATAAGGGCACTTATGCTGATGATTGTTTAGTGAATAGAGTGAAACAACATAGATGTTTTATAGTAGCCACATGTGATAAGGATTTAAAACGTAGAATTCGTAAAATACCTGGTGTTCCAATAATGTTTATCTAGAATCATAAATACACAATAGAAAGAATGCCTGAAGCATTTGGTGCTCCAAGATGATTTGCTATTATTTTTATTAATTTATATAAATGGCTGAATTAACAAAGGAAGAGAAGAAAGAAAAAAGCAAATAAATGAAAGATAAAATGAAATTCGTTGAGTAGTAAGCAAGATTCAGAAAGGCTTAAACAGAATTAAAAGAAAATGGATTGGAAAATACATCAGTAAATGCAAAGCGTGAAATAATGAGAGCATTGGAAAAAGAAATGGATGATAAATAATTAAAACAATATAATGAACTTCAAAAGAAATTAGTTAGAATGAATTATTTTGGGTCTTTTTTTGGATTGACTACTGCAGCCATATTACCACGAACATTTAGATTTTATCAGAAACTTGAATTACCTTCTAGGTATTTTATAATATAATATTAAAGACTTGCTGTTTGTATTGGCACATTTTTAATCACTCAATAAGGAGTGGCTTTCAAATATTTATGTGATGTGGATAATTTTGAAGAAGAATATATTGAGAAACATAAAAATTAATTTTTAGAGACATCGTTTGAGAGTTGATTTAATTTAATTTTATAATCTTTTAATAATTGTGATTATAATATGCAATATTATGTTCCAACATAAGATGTATTGGGATCTCTTTCAGATGTATTTTCAAATTGTAACTACCAATTTGATAGCTAAAAACATTCTGAATTAGATGAAAAGCTTTTTTCCGCTTTTTCATCCAGATTAGATACAAATAAATTCAAAAGCAATCTAGATAAGTATATAGAAAAAATCAAATGTAATAAAATAGACTTTATTTTAGAAAAAATTTAGAAGTAAGATGAAGATGATAGTTCCAAATAATTATCAAGTAAATAAAACAATATATCTAAATAAAATGATACATAAACAACATGTCCCTTAAGTTCAAGTAAATCAAAAGCTGGATTTGAGGATTTTAATCAATAATAGCAGAATAACAATGTAATAAATTTGAATTACTTAAAGTAGATAGAAGTATCAACTATTTTTATGGATAATGCATGTTAAGCAGCAGTTGAAAAAAATGAAAGTTTTACTTAAACTGAAAATATTTTACCTGATATGATTAAAATGTAAAATATTACAGAATTACATGTTTAAAATACAAAAAAAATGGATTAAAATAAATTAAAATTGTTTAATTAGGAGGTGTCATTATAAATTTAACATCATTAGATTAAATAATAATTCTCAGATTTTTAATGTTAAGTTGATCAATCTTAAGAAGAATCTTAATATAAATAATTAAATTATAATCTTGAAAATAATAGCGATTTATAATATTAGAGTTATCATTCATCTGATTTGATTGATAATTTATAGATAATTCATGACTAAATTAATGAATAGTCTATAAAGTGCATATGCGGTAAAAATAATTCAATTAAAAAAATTAAACTTGTTGATGTTGAATGTCAACATGATGGACAAATGAATATGTGGCAATCAATCAATAATTTAGACATAGAGATAGAGGAGAATATTAAAAATATAAGAATAAGAAGTAGATGTATGAGCCAAACAAAATAAACTCCAGAAGGAGTACAAATAAATAATGATGATCAAATCACATTTTTAGAGAATGGTAACTATGATCTTAAATAATTTAATAGAATTATTATTAAAAAATGAATTGTTAGATACAAAAAATTAAGTCATTTTTAAATTGCATTCGTAAATTGAAGATTTGCACAAATTAATCAACGATTAAAAAGATAGTGCTAGAAATCGTAGACATTCAGATTCAGATTTATCTAATGAAAATTAGAATTGGGAAATTGATGAATTATAACATTAAATTTAAACAGATGCTGAAATTCAAGCTAATCTAACTAAACAAATGTTATAATATAGTGAAGAAACAAGAAAACTTGAAAAATAAATAGCTCAAATTACGGATTAAAATTAAGATCTTAAAGTAGAGCTTGATGAATAATCTATCTAAATTAGAAAGTTAAAAGAAAAATTAGCTGAAATTGAAGAAAATAAAACTAAAGAAATAGATATCATAAATGAAGATTATTAAGATAAATTATCTAAATAAAATATGATCATTGATACCTTACAATAATAAATCAATAGTTTGTCTGTAAGTCCAATGGGCTTACCTATGCCTTAAACTATGAAATATATAAACTAATAACAATTATAATCTATAGGATCTGATTCATAGTAATCAAAAGGATCAAATAACAAAACAAAAGAAGAAAGATAATAATAAATAAGAAATATTAAAAAAATGACAACCATGACAGCAGGATTAATGTCAAATAAATAAGACTATGTTACTTTGGGTCTCTTAGGTAAAATTGATCAATACAAGAGTCAACAAAAATTAGAATCCTTTAATAAACTTAATTGATATTTTTATATATTTAATTTTTCATTTTAAGAAATAATCGATTAATAGTAAACTTTATTTTATTTAATTGATAATTTAGACAAATATTATTTTTCGACTATTCTTATTATTAACTCTTTGATATCTGAATAAGAATTTTAAAAAAAATAATCATTGAATTTAATTTAATTAGAACTTATATCTATATCTAAAAAGGAAAATATTATTTTAAATTCTCTAATAATGTATATTTAACATTAATGGTAACTATATAGGTCTTCTTATATGTATTAAAAGTTATTGAAATAGTTTTGGATTTAATTTGTAATTATAAAAGAGAAATTATAGTGTAAATAAGAAATTTTGAAAAAATGCTTTTGTAATTAATATTAAACTAAATATTATTATGAATTAATCGAATGCTTCATCGTCAAGTGCAAAGTTTTAGAGTGCTAAATAATATTAACTAGAATCCATTAAGGTAAAGGAGTAATAGGATTAAACAATAAATTCAGAAGGAGATCTAGAATCTGAGTTTAATTAGGATGAATTCAATTAGAAATAAAATAACATTTAAAGGATTTAGAAATTTGAAGCTTCAGAATAGGAAGTAGTATCTATAGAGGCAAAAAAGGAGATAGTATAAGTAGAACAATTAAATACTGAGACATAAGAAGAGAAACCATTAAATTTAAATTTTGTGGGAATACCATCAAATTAAAGAAACAATCTTTAGACATATAAATCATCAAATAGAAAACTTATACCAATAAATTAGCATAGTCTTAGTTAATCAATGATATCAAATATGACATTACATAATAAAGGAGCAGGTTTTCGTAAAATAAATGCATTCTATTATGATAGAATAGGAGATTAGTTAAGTTTAATAATAATGGAGAACAAGAATGTAATAAAATTTATAGCAAAAGAAACAGTAATTCCTCTATTGATAGCATTTGTGATTGAAGTTTTGATTTTAGTTATTTAGAATGAGATTGGAGAGTATTGTTTTATTGATGGAATTGAATGTTCTAGTTATTGGGTTAGATTATGGTCATTTTTCAAATAATAGATTGTAAGATTATCATTAATAATAAACAGCTTTTTAAATTGGGAATGGTATTTTGTAAGGGTCATATTTTGTACTAATTGGTATTAGGAAATAGATTAGTTTAAGCAAAAAATGGAAGACCTTTGATGGAATATTTTGTTTTAATACTAATGACAGTTTTAACAGATTTTATTATGATATTTTGGGTTGGATTTAATGAAGATTGGTTGTTTATAATTTATGTATATATCCTTGGTTCTGTTGTATTTTTTAATACATTTAGAATGAAGACTTGGCCAGGTTATCTTTTAAAAGGTTTGAGTTATTTTTTATATGATTTAACAATAATTGGATTACTATTTGCATGTTTTAAACTATTTCCTTATATAAAATAATCATTCAAAGAAATCAATATTGTTGCTTGGGATGAATATTATATGTTTCTCTATGCTTTTTTAGACTTAGGTATGGAAATATTCATGGATTTATCACTTTCAATAACAAAATATAGCGAATTATATATTTATTAAGGTTAATTGTTAATAATAGGTACAAGAGTTGGAACATTGATTTAAGCTGATATGGCAAGATTTGATTTTTGGTTTTGTTTATTTTTCTTAATAATGTTTAGAATCAATAATATATCAATGGTGTTTACTGTATTTTTAAGAAGAGTGATATATTATGCAACACCTGATAGTTTAAAACCTTTTGTATCTATGGAAGAGACAAATTTAACTAGAAAAGGTAAGAATGGGGCATGTTGGGAACATTTATTTTGGATTGTATATTATTATATGTTCATCTTTTCAGGTAGAACTTTTACTTATTGGGTTTTTGATAAATCATATATCTCAAATGGTAAATTCGAGACCAACATTTGGGATAGATATGAAAAATCAAATTATATGCCTGTTATAGTATGGGCATTTTTATTGATACCTGAATATGTTGGATATAGATTGAATAAGTAAAAGAATTATGACAATATAAAATTATTGGGAGGGAATCAACTAAAATTTTATGAAAACTTATTCATAAGAATTTTAGGAACATATCTATTTAATTTTGCCTTGATGAGTAATTTAATTTGATTGATATGATAAAATATATTATCATAATTTTATTCACAATTTCTCCATTGTAACTAATAATCGACTTCTTTTATCAACCATTTTTTATTCTCGAAAATCAATTAATTCAAAACCTTCTTCTTTTTCTACTTTTTTTTCCATTCCCTTAAATAAAGGATACAAATAAACTAGTCTACCTCCTCTTCTTAATACTCTTTTAGCAACTTCAAACATTCTTCTATAAATAGCAGTTCTATTTGCTTATAGATCCAATTCATTCCCATCTTATTGAATAGAAGCTCTAATGCCATAAGGAGGATCACAAATTATAGCATCAAAGAATGAATCAATTCTAGGATTAAAATTAGCTTAATGAACATCTGCTTAAATCAAACTAGGAATTGGAAGATTGTATTAATGAAAGTTTAAATTTATGTAAGGTTTCACTTATTTATAATTTGGATCTTTCAAATAAGTACTCTTCTTATTTATATATCCAATACAATGTCCCTTCATCAACTAGTAATAAATATATATCTATTACATATCCATCTATTTCTGAACCAAAACAAATTGCTCCAAAGTGAGAACAAGCAACTAAAGAACTTCCTGTTCCTGCAAAAGGATCAAATACTAAATCATTCTCTTATACTTTTGCTTGATTTGCCATCAAAAAAGCCAAATCATGAGCTAATGAAACTGGTCCTAAATATATTCTATTCGGCAATTCATAATTTCTTGCAAAATTCTTCTCTCTTCTCTTCTTTTTTTTTGCCAAAGTACAACCAGCAATATATTTTTAATCTTTAGTAATTATCAAATAATATAGAATGTCTGGCTCTGATAAATTTATCGTATTTTAACAATTAAATCCTTTCTATCCAAAAACTTACTCCATTAATTCAACTCTCTTCTCCTAAGTAATTTTAAAATAAGATGTTATAATATCACATTTGCATGATAGATTTGGGTTTTATATATATTGCATCGCCTAAGGTAAGATATTCTTTGGTAACTCATCAATTGTATTACCTCTACTGATTGTGAATAAGATATCATGTATCAACATTGATCGACTCAACACTTTTGGGATCAAATCCAGATCTTTCAAATGTACATCAACAAAAGGATAATTTGATAAAGTTTGAGATGTTATTTCATATTTCTTGGGAAATTAATTTATAGGGAAATATTCCTTGAATAATTCTTAATATGGTAATCCATAGAGTTCAAATAGTTGTATTGCTTCTTGTATTCCAAATTCACCCATCTCTATTGATTAGTTTATAACTAATGTAACAACATGTTCTTATTCTTGAATCATAAATTAAATATCAATAATATATTTACTAATAATCAATGAATAAGTTATTAAATTATATCAATCAATTTTCTAATACACCTTCCCTCCAGTGTCCTTCTATTTATTATCCATCTTGAGTTAAAAATACTCCTTTTCCTTCAATCATTCCATCATGAAATTGTCCTTCATAACGTTCTCCATTAGTGAGATACAGGGTTCCATTTCCTTACATTTTCCCCTAAAAGAACTCTCCTTCATAACTTAACCAACCATTTTCGATGATACTGAGATCTGTATAATCAAAAGGACCTTATATTTCTTCGGCAGAATAATTAATCAATTTGCCTTATCCATGATATTAATTGTCTTGCCAATAACCACTATAAACTTCATTGTCATTTTAGTCAGTCAAAACACCAAATCCATCTCTTGTAGCTGGTTCATATCCTTATCCTCTATAAATGTATCCATCTTCATATTATAGGGCTAGATCTTAGAGTTCTTTTTCAGGTTCTTCTTTTTTGGATTATGGTTTATTGTATTTTTATACTAGATCTCTAGTTCTATCAATAGCATCTTAGAATTTCTTTTCAAGATCATCTTCTTATTATGATAAAATAGGAGGTTGAGAATATTATGGTTTATGTTGGTATGATGGAGCAGCTTAATAATTAGACATAGAACTCGGAGCTTATTTAGATTGTCTTGACTAAAACTATTAAGTCACAGGTGATTATTAATGAAATGATTACTTATATTGCTATTATTATGGTTGATTTATAATAGGTGATCTCACATATGATTATTATTAATAGGGAGTATTTAAAACCATTTAATAAGATTAAGGATTGACTGTTCTTGTTGTATAAGATTGATGAATTGAATTGCTATGTCGAACAGGTATTATTGGTTATACATGATATACTCTTGTAGTTGGAATTGAAATTGGCTATTTTATATATAATCAATATACAGAATGTTGTAATTGTGTTGTTTATGATTTAATAATTGTTTAGATAGGTGGTTGAATATATCTAACATAAGAGAGTTGAATATAAGTTGGTTAAGGTGATGGAGGAATAAAGGAAGTCTTATACATTAAAATAATTTTTATTTGTATAATTATAATTATCCAAATAACCAATCATATTATTCAATCTAATCTTCTGAAGATATATATGTAACCTTTATTCAAAGCAGGTTCTGTTATCTTAGCAACTTTAGAATCATTATACAATATGCATTCTCCATACTTTTTATATATGATACATAATGTACAGATCTTCCTAAATGAACAATACAAGCTAAAGTATATAATAAAAATATACCAAATAATTCATATTTAGATGTTTGATTTTAGAATTGATCTTACTTCTACTATTATTAGGTTATATGATTCATTTCCTATTCTAAATCATGATTAAATATATAATCCATTGCTCTTTCCAGATTATTATCCTTTTATTTTAATCAACATATATTTATACTGTCCTAGATAATGCAAATCTGGCTTATTATGGACTGAAACCCATTACAATTATTTATTCTACAAACTCTTCATTTATTTATTAACCATTCTCTTTTTATTATATTGGTTAATCTTAAGTTGGATCATCCAATGATCCCATTATAAACATCATTGCAGCTTCTACATCATTCTTAAATTTTAGAAGTGCTCTTTTACATCTATTCTCACCTAATCCCATTCCCATTAAAGTTTATAAATTATCTTCTGTATATTCCTATCCTTATTATTACTCTTTTAAAGTATCATTATCTTAGAATAAAGGCTCTTTAAATTCATTAAAATCAGAGAATTGCTCAATCTTTATTGATGCATTCAATTTCTTAGCAACCCAATTCTTTTATACAAATCTTATTTCTGGTACAAATAAATATTTTGGAAATGTCTTAAAGTATTCTTATTTTACAAATAATTAAAGAGATTAACATTTTGGACAAAACATTTCCACTCTTTCTCCTTCTTTTAATAATTATAAACATTTTTCAAAAGTTGTATCATACTCAGGTAAATCATTCAATTAAAATGGTTTCATATCTTCTGGTTTCATACTCTTTATTCTCTCTTCATATTTCAATTTCTCTTGTACATAATAAAGATCAATTTAATCTTATGTTTGTTATTCAACTGCCACTTTAAATTCATAATTCTTAACAACATTCACTTTATGTCCTCCACAATTCACACATTTTATAAATGTTGTTTAATCATATGAAAACATAGAAGTTAACTATTATAATTTATAATATTTTTCCGTTTTCTAAAAAAATGGATTCAATAACTGCCAATATTCTAATGCATCCTATAATGATTAGATAAGAAATTTTGATTACCTTTAGCAACCAAATATTTCAAATCATACAATCTAATACCATATTAATAAAAATCTTTTTAAACTCCTTCTGTGTCTAAAGAAGATTTAGATACTTTTTTTATTGAAAATTCACCACTGTTTAATCCATGATTAACTTTACTAATTTAACACAATATACAATTAACTGGTAATTAAGTACAATTAAATTGATGTTCTAATGAATATAATTACTTAAATTCTGGAATACTAAAGAACACTTAAACAACTGAATTCATATAACAAGTATTTCCAATATTATCTATTCCTGTAAATTCGGGTCCAAAGATAAAATCTAACACCTATCCTTCCTCTATCGATTTACTTAATTATATAGTTAAAACAGCATCTAATGTTAATTCAGCAATAGCTTTTTCTGTTTTTACTTGTTTTTCTATTTCAATACTATATGTGTCTAAATGTTCTTTAAGAAAGTTATCTATTACTTCATCATCACATTTATAATCGCCTTTACCATCAGATGTAATAGTTTCTAATTTGACAACTAAATGATGTTAATAAGCTTTAGAATGTTTGACTGCATGATTATTTCCTCCTGATCCATCATACATTTTTCTACCACAACCAACATGTCCACAATATAAACATAACCATAAATTAGATGATAAATGACAACTTCTACATTTTTATAAATTCTTTTCTACCAATGGCAGCTACTCCAATGATTATGTTAATTGTTATGTTAAGGACTATGCATATCTATACAACTTCCATTAAAACATTTCAAACAAACTTATATTCCATTATCACTCTTAGCTTCCACAAAACATCTTGTACATTAATCCTTGTATATCATCTATCCCTATACTGACCATTTTATATGTTCACAAATACTTGTCATCCCCATTTTAATTTAATTATTTAATTTCTTATTAGGATTACTATCTATATAATTAAATTACTTAATTTGAACTTAAAATAAATATAAATAAATTGAATGAATAATTTTAAATTTGATTTTTATGTCACTAGATAGAATCAGAAAGAGCTTTAAATCATTTCTAGGCTTTAATAATAGTCCTTAAAATGAACACTCCTCTCAAGCATCCATATCCATTCCTCAAGAATTCAAATCCTCAAATTCATAATCATAATGTATTATCAAAAATAAATTTGTTTAAATTGAAAAAAAATAAGAACGTATCAATCCTTACAAGAAATCTCTTGACCGCTTAAAAGAATACTATAAAACTATGGTCAAAGGAACAGATTTCACTAAATGCCCTACAATCTAATATTAGAATAATCAAGATGAAGTAATATTGCTCTCTATTAACTTTCAAGAAACCTGTTATTGATCACAAAATTAATAACCCTAGATGGAAGAGAGATGATTAATCTTAAGAATCCTATTCATAGAGTTTAAAATAGAGTTCCCATTATGACATACCTTAACCATCTTTTGTTTAATTCCAAATCAAACCAACTAAAAATTAAATCCATGATTCTTAGATCCTCTCATAATCAAGAGAAAAATAAGCATCAATTAATTTTTAAAAAAAACTATTTCTCTCCTATTTAGAAGATAAACCCATCAATTATAAAGAATTTAATACAAATATTACAAATGAAGAAAAAAAAAAAAAATCATCTTAAATCTCCATTCGAAGAGCTGAAAGCACTACATTAGATGATTTAGAAAGTTTAAAAGGTAGATAAACTATACAAAAACCAGAAAATAATTTAAACCAAAATGATGATGAAAATTTAAATGCATAAGAATCTATAATTATTAAAAAATAGCCAATATCAAAATTTAGTAAATTANTCGCCTTTACCATCAGATGTAATAGTTTCTAATTTGACAACTAAATGATGTTAATAAGCTTTAGAATGTTTGACTGCATGATTATTTCCTCCTGATCCATCATACATTTTTCTACCACAACCAACATGTCCACAATATAAACATAACCATAAATTAGATGATAAATGACAACTTCTACATTTTTATAAATTCTTTTCTACCAATGGCAGCTACTCCAATGATTATGTTAATTGTTATGTTAAGGACTATGCATATCTATACAACTTCCATTAAAACATTTCAAACAAACTTATATTCCATTATCACTCTTAGCTTCCACAAAACATCTTGTACATTAATCCTTGTATATCATCTATCCCTATACTGACCATTTTATATGTTCACAAATACTTGTCATCCCCATTTTAATTTAATTATTTAATTTCTTATTAGGATTACTATCTATATAATTAAATTACTTAATTTGAACTTAAAATAAATATAAATAAATTGAATGAATAATTTTAAATTTGATTTTTATGTCACTAGATAGAATCAGAAAGAGCTTTAAATCATTTCTAGGCTTTAATAATAGTCCTTAAAATGAACACTCCTCTCAAGCATCCATATCCATTCCTCAAGAATTCAAATCCTCAAATTCATAATCATAATGTATTATCAAAAATAAATTTGTTTAAATTGAAAAAAAATAAGAACGTATCAATCCTTACAAGAAATCTCTTGACCGCTTAAAAGAATACTATAAAACTATGGTCAAAGGAACAGATTTCACTAAATGCCCTACAATCTAATATTAGAATAATCAAGATGAAGTAATATTGCTCTCTATTAACTTTCAAGAAACCTGTTATTGATCACAAAATTAATAACCCTAGATGGAAGAGAGATGATTAATCTTAAGAATCCTATTCATAGAGTTTAAAATAGAGTTCCCATTATGACATACCTTAACCATCTTTTGTTTAATTCCAAATCAAACCAACTAAAAATTAAATCCATGATTCTTAGATCCTCTCATAATCAAGAGAAAAATAAGCATCAATTAATTTTTAAAAAAAACTATTTCTCTCCTATTTAGAAGATAAACCCATCAATTATAAAGAATTTAATACAAATATTACAAATGAAGAAAAAAAAAAAAAATCATCTTAAATCTCCATTCGAAGAGCTGAAAGCACTACATTAGATGATTTAGAAAGTTTAAAAGGTAGATAAACTATACAAAAACCAGAAAATAATTTAAACCAAAATGATGATGAAAATTTAAATGCATAAGAATCTATAATTATTAAAAAATAGCCAATATCAAAATTTAGTAAATTAAATAAATAAGAACCAGAATTCAATCCATAAATACCTTAAATAGAAACAAAACCTGTTTCACCTAGTTCATTTCTAAATAAAGAAGAATAATAAAAGTTACCATCAGAATAATAATAATAAACAAATAATAAAATTTCTGATTTATAAATAGCACAATCAATTTAAGAAAAATAAGATAAATCTGAAATAGTCAAATAAGATCCTATTATTTCACAGAAAATAGAACCATAGCCGTAACAAACTGTCATAGAAGTTAATCCCTTTACTTCTAATATTGAAAATCCACTTTTTAATGCACCTTGGTTAACTAATCAATAACCAATCTAAAATTAATCAACATTTAATCTATTTTAATCATAACCAGTATAAAATGAGTTTCAAGCTCCTTTTATTTAATCATAATAATAAACTGTCTTTCCATTTTAAAATTAAAATTAACCACAATCAAAATAATAATAGTAAAATGTTTTCCAAAATGAAAACTTTTTCTCTTAATAAATGCAACTAACTTCAAATCCTTTTGTAACAAATTAAATTAGTTAAAATGTTTTCAATTAAACCATTCCTTTCTAATCCTAAACACCATTTTCATAAAATCAATCATTTTAATAAAGTTAATAATCATATACAAATGATTTATTTGGATTTGGTTAATAAAATAACAATAACAATATCAATAATAATAATAATAATAATAATAATAAATTTTTATTTTCAACTAACTCTTTAGGTGGAGGATCTTTTTCAGCTGATGATTAAAATAAACCAAGAACTATTGATCTATTTTCAGCCTAACCAATCTAGAATTCTTAAAACTCTATGATGAATTAAAGTTAGGCAGCTAATTTATTTTCTTTAGATCAAAATACTTCTGCCTAATAATAAACAAATAAAGAATCTGATAGATATAAAAATAAATTTAAATAAAATACTGTTAAAAATTATGCTGGTACAAAAAGATTAGAATGAATAATTACATATTTTAATATAGGATAAATGATTACTTTGAGAACATTAAAAAACTCACAGTAGACTATATAAGTAATTACAAAATTAATTTAATTAAATTTGATTTTTTTTTTCTGAATCTGCAAATTCCATCATTTTATATATTTCTCCATCCATCAAATTACATTTTTCTTTAAGAGAATCCATGGCTAAAAGAAATTCTTCACAGGTTATGATAGGACATGATTGATTAAAAGTATAAAGCAATTTCTTCATTCCTGCAACAAAATTTGTTTAATTCTTTATAAACATATTATTTAGTTTATTTGTAGCCTTTTTCATAATGATTCTATCAGTTTCATCTTTGTACTCTAAGCCAAAAGCTTCATAAAATTCACAAATGTCTACTTATCCTTTTTAATCTTTATCAAATAATTTTAAAAGTTTAAGAACATAACCAATATCAATGTTCAATGCTAAAAAACCTTTTCTTAATTCTAAGACTGTTACTATTTGACTTTGATCTGTATCCATCCAATCAAAAAATTCTTCAAGTCCAACTTATTTTTTTTTCATTTTTTCTATAACTACTTCAATCAATGTTGGTTCAATTTATTCTTATCTTTCAACTTTTAATTGCTAATAAGTTGCTAAATCCTCTTCAATAAGTATAGCCATTTTGAACTCTTCAATATCAACAGCTCCATCTTGACTTGTATCAATTAATCTCATCCAATTCATGATTTAATCAAATTAAGTTCCTTTCATGTATTTACTAAATGCAATAGCTAAATCAGTAATTTATTTTCTTTAGACATCTTTTGGATAGCATTAATAATAAATCATCAAAGGATCTAATTTATATTGTCGTAGAACTTGTCTGAATTTTCTCATGTCTTAAAGTATTCGTAATCCACTATTATTTTCTCGTAGAGCTAATAATTATTACGCAGTTTTATTAGGATTAAGACATTCTTTGAGATCAAATAAGAAATCTTCATTTTTAATTTTATTTAATTGTTTGATATCAAAGTATTTCATAATAATAAAGATTTCATTTGATCCAAAGTCATTTTTCATAGACATTAAAAGATCATCTGTAGTGATGTAACCTTTTTATTAGTAATCAATTTATTCTACAATTCCTTTAGGAGTATTTTTTAAACCTTTAAGATATTTAATAAATTTTTCAAGAACTCTTTCTTATATTTTGGCAGGATCATCTTAAGGTTAACCCATTTTCATTGCTTATGTATTGAGAATATAAGCATGATCTTCAGCATTGCATTTACAATAGATGAGAACCCTATAGAATTCTTCTTTCATTATAAATCCACTACAATCATCATCAAAAAGTAATGCAATCTTTTAAAGTGTGATTCCGTCTATTTTCCCATCAAAAAATGAATCTAAAAATTCTTTATATTCTTAAATGGTCAATTTTCCTGTGAATCTTTTGTCTGCACATCTAAAAAGCATTTCAACTGTCATTCCTCTTTCATTACAACATTTTTATAATTCTTTCAATAGTTTTTCTCTTATGTATAATTAAGAAGTATTTGAAGCTAAGATTATTTCAAATTAAGGTATTCTCAATTCTTCATCAGCTGGCATAGCCAATTTAACTTTAAGTTCATTATTTTCTTACTCTAATTATTAAGCTTGTAACTTTAATTTTTTAATTGCATTTCGATAATCTTCCATTTATATTTATTTACATATATATAAAATCAATCGATTTCATCAAGTTCAACTGATTATCCAAAGTTGGCTATAGTATTAATTTCTACTTATTCACTTCCATGTTCACTAGCCCCATCAATACTTTTTTAATCTCCCTCTACACTTCTATGTTCACTATGTCCATCTGCAATTCTAGAATTATTTTCAGATTAATTATCAGATTACTTATCTGAAAGTTTCTCTGATTAATGTTCAGAATGCTAAGCTGATTACTAAGCAGATTATTGAGCAGATGATCTAACTTCACTAGTATTTGATTAAGTATTGTAAGTTGATAGATGNTATCAATTAATCTCATCCAATTCATGATTTAATCAAATTAAGTTCCTTTCATGTATTTACTAAATGCAATAGCTAAATCAGTAATTTATTTTCTTTAGACATCTTTTGGATAGCATTAATAATAAATCATCAAAGGATCTAATTTATATTGTCGTAGAACTTGTCTGAATTTTCTCATGTCTTAAAGTATTCGTAATCCACTATTATTTTCTCGTAGAGCTAATAATTATTACGCAGTTTTATTAGGATTAAGACATTCTTTGAGATCAAATAAGAAATCTTCATTTTTAATTTTATTTAATTGTTTGATATCAAAGTATTTCATAATAATAAAGATTTCATTTGATCCAAAGTCATTTTTCATAGACATTAAAAGATCATCTGTAGTGATGTAACCTTTTTATTAGTAATCAATTTATTCTACAATTCCTTTAGGAGTATTTTTTAAACCTTTAAGATATTTAATAAATTTTTCAAGAACTCTTTCTTATATTTTGGCAGGATCATCTTAAGGTTAACCCATTTTCATTGCTTATGTATTGAGAATATAAGCATGATCTTCAGCATTGCATTTACAATAGATGAGAACCCTATAGAATTCTTCTTTCATTATAAATCCACTACAATCATCATCAAAAAGTAATGCAATCTTTTAAAGTGTGATTCCGTCTATTTTCCCATCAAAAAATGAATCTAAAAATTCTTTATATTCTTAAATGGTCAATTTTCCTGTGAATCTTTTGTCTGCACATCTAAAAAGCATTTCAACTGTCATTCCTCTTTCATTACAACATTTTTATAATTCTTTCAATAGTTTTTCTCTTATGTATAATTAAGAAGTATTTGAAGCTAAGATTATTTCAAATTAAGGTATTCTCAATTCTTCATCAGCTGGCATAGCCAATTTAACTTTAAGTTCATTATTTTCTTACTCTAATTATTAAGCTTGTAACTTTAATTTTTTAATTGCATTTCGATAATCTTCCATTTATATTTATTTACATATATATAAAATCAATCGATTTCATCAAGTTCAACTGATTATCCAAAGTTGGCTATAGTATTAATTTCTACTTATTCACTTCCATGTTCACTAGCCCCATCAATACTTTTTTAATCTCCCTCTACACTTCTATGTTCACTATGTCCATCTGCAATTCTAGAATTATTTTCAGATTAATTATCAGATTACTTATCTGAAAGTTTCTCTGATTAATGTTCAGAATGCTAAGCTGATTACTAAGCAGATTATTGAGCAGATGATCTAACTTCACTAGTATTTGATTAAGTATTGTAAGTTGATAGATGAGAAGGTTCTTCATTATCAGATACATTATTATCATCCTATTATTCTTATTATTATCCTTATTATTATCCTTATTATTATTATTATTCTTATTATTATTATTATTCTTCTCTGTATTTACGAATCATGTCTTTAAAATTCTAATGTTATCTCATATGTTCTTCTTCTTATTCTTTTTTGTACTTTTGTCTTTCTTCTCTTTCCAAATCTAATCCTCCTTTGGCAAAGGCTTCTGCAAATCCTTAAATTTAATATATTTATATTTATACTTCTTTCATCATCAAATACAGGCCTATCATCCAAATATTTTAAAGTCTTTATTTTGTTTATAAAAGTCTTACGATAATGTTGAATTTGTTTTCCAGCTGTGTTATTCTAAAAATATAAAACTGATAATTGCGGAAGTTTTAAAAATATTTCATCCAAAACATTTGGATCATCTATTTTATTATCTGATACATCCAAAACTGATAAATTAGGCAAACAAAGCAATCCTTCTAAATCACTAAGTCCATTTAATCCGACTCTATTTCTTTTGATTTAAAGAGTCTATAATTTTTAACATTATTCCAAACTAAATATTTAAATATCTATACATACCCTTCAATTTTGGTTATCATATTATCACTAAGATTTAAATTGATTAGATCAGTCAACATATGTAAGTTTTCAATTTTTCTAATTACATTCTCCTACAAATATAAACATCTTAGAGATGCTAAACAATCAAGTCCTTTTGATAAATGAATGATATTACCTTCAATATTGTTGAGGCCATTTCCTTCCAAATAGATAACTTTTAATCCTGTAAATTATTCAAGATTCTCGATCTTTTCAAAACCTTTATAATGAAGATAGAGACAATCATTAAGTTCAGGTGTAGTGTAATAGAGTTTGAATTCCTTTCTTAATAGTTTTTTTAAGTAATCTTTAGTGATTCTTCTTTCTTCCTGTTACATTATTTTATAATATAATATTATTTTAAAGAGTAGAATAATATAAATACAGAATTAAGGAGTGAGGAGATGATAAAAACTGAGTATTTAATAAAAATTGGCTAATATTAAATAGATTAGAGAATATATTTGAAAAAAAAAGAAATAAAATAATTTAATATAAATGGGTGATAAAAAAATAAAGATTGATGAATATAAGGAGATTCGTTTAGGTGGATTTTAAGCTAGATCACATAATTGGTGGGAAGAAGCTAATGGTGAAGAATCTGAGGAAGAAGAATAATAGGGATAAGAATGGAGATATTTGGAACATCATGGAGTTTTATTTCCTGCATTTTATAAGAGACATAATGTAGGTTTAATTTATGATGGGCAATTAATTGAGTTAACAGAAGAGTAAGAAGAGCTTTGTACATATTGGGCATAATCTATTGGATCTCCATATGAGAATAAGGAAATATATAGGAAGAATTTTGAATCTCTTATGTAGACAAAATTTAAAGGGTTTTAATTAGAGAAGGCTGATTTTACAAGGATAAAGGAATATTTGGAATAGCAAAGATTATTGAGATTAAATAAATCAGATGAATAGAAGAAATAAGAGAAATTAGAAAGAGATTAAAGAGAATTGTTTTATGGATATGCCCTAGTGGATGGTTGTTTAGAGAGAGTTGGTAATTACACATTAGAATAGCCTACTTTATTTAAGGGACGAGGAGAACATCCAAAAGCAGGATTATTGAAAGCAAGAATACATCCAGAGGAATTAACAGTAAATTTAAGTATATAAGCTCCAGTACCTTAATGTAAATTACCTGGTCATTCTTGGGGTAAGATTGTACATAGAAATGATGTTACATGGTTATTTTCATATGTAGATTCAAGTATTAGGAAAGATAATCATAAATATGTTTAGTTTGCTGCTACATCTAGATTTAAATAGATGAATGATAAGAGAAAGTATGAGAAAGCAAGAAGATTGAAAAACAGTATTGATTAAATAAGAGAAAATTATACTAAGAAATTATAATCAGATTCAATTAAGGAAAGATAACTTGGCACAGCTACTTATTTAATTGATAAATTAGCATTGAGAGTAGGTAATGAGAAAGATGAAGATGAAGCAGATACAGTTGGTTGTTGTAGTTTGAGAGTAGAACATATTAAATTGAAGGATGATGATGTTGTTGCATTTGATTTCTTGGGTAAGGATTCTATGAGGTATAATAATGAAGTTAAATTGGCACATTAAATATGGAAGAATCTTAAATTATTTATTAAAGGCAAATAACCAGAAGATAATTTGTTTAGTGATATAAGTGTAGATGATTTAAATGATTATTTAAAAAAATAGATGGAAGGACTTACTGCAAAAGTATTCAGAACTTATAATGCTAGTTTTACACTTTAATAACAACTTGATTTAGGAGGTGATCTAGATGGTCATTCCATTTAATAAAAAGTATTTTATTATAATTTACATTTTATAGGTTGATTTCTATGATAATGCTAACAAATAGGTTGCTATCTTATGTAATCATCAAAAAACTATTTCTAAATAATTTGAATTAACTAAAAAGAAAATCAATACTAAATTAGAATGTATGAAATCATACATTCAAGAATTGGAAACTCATTATAAGAAGAAGAATCCTAATGAGTATGAAGAAGAAGTCTAATTAGAGGAGGGATCTTAAAAGAAAAATAATGTATATATTAAGAAGTTTCCAGGATAACATGATAAAATTAAATAATTAATATAGAGGACTGAGGAGAAGTACTAAAAAGAATTGAAAGGTTTGGAAAAGAAAGAAGAAAATAAAGAAATTGCATTAGGAACATCAAAAACTAATTACAATGATCCTAGAATTAGTGTTGCATTTTGTAAAGTACATGATGTACCAATAGAAAGAGTATTTTCAAAAACATTAAGAAATAAATTTATTTGGGCTATGGCAACAGATTCTAATTGGAAATTTTGATTTTGATACCAGTCCATTTAATATCATTGCATAATTTTATAATTAATTTATAGGTCTTCTTTTATTTTATATTATTATGCAAAATAATGAATTCTAAAAATTTGAGATTGTGAATCAATAAGAGAAAATTGATAATGAATGTTTTAAATGTTTCACTATAAATCATGATTCAACAATCTTGATTGGATGTAGCACTTGGGCTGTGATATATATTTATTCAATTTTATAAGATGGTTAGATTATTAATACACAAAAAATATTAGATTAAGAATTGTTACTCATTAATTAAGTATATTTTATGAGATCAGGAAAAACATTCATTACGATGGGATATGGTTTAAGTTTTTGGACAATAAATGAAAATAACCTTTGGTATAAAGGAAATATAATTTAATTAGAAGAGAGAATATCATTTTTGATATTTACCAAGGATGAAAAAAAAATAATAGTCTCATTAGAAAGTTCTTTATAATTTTGGAAAAAGAGAAATTAATCATAATTATGGAAGACAAATTTTGAATTAAATTTATAAGAAAAAATTACAAGTATGAGTTTGAATGAATCAGAAAATGAATTAATTATTGGAATGTAAGGTTTGATACTTTTAGCAAGATGTTTTAATAATTATAAATGGCATATTTGTTACAAAATAAGGACAGCATGTGGTTCCATATGGAAAATGGTGATTTATTTGGATAAAAGTATGTTTGTATCTTAACCGAGTAATTGCGATAATTTAATATAATATGAATGGAATAAATGGGATTAGAAATTGATTAGAAAATTTAAAATAAGATTAGAGAAGAATTCTGATTTGAGTCGTGAAAATTCAATAAGTTTTGAATAGGATGAGCAATTATTGTTTCATAAATTTAATAAAACATTAAGAATATTTAGTCTTCGCAATAGATAATTATAGTTATAGTAATAGATTACATTTAGTAGTTGTGAACATAGTTTTTATAATTCTAGAGATTGCAAATTCTTAATAGTAAGGAATTTGAGAGGAAAAGGTTTTTCAATTTGGCATAGATGAAAACTTGTTTAAGAGAGAGATAATCCATTTTTGAATGTTTTATTAAAATGAATATTATGATATGTGATATTTATTTTTAAAAAGGAATAAATTAAAATAAATGAAAAATTTACCTGACAGAGAAAAAGCATTGATAGAAGAGACTTGTATAAAAATACAAAGTCAAATAAAAAGAATAATTAAGAGTAGGGAAGTTAAAAATTACTCACTCAAACAAGTAGGTATCAAGAATCAAGATTAGATCGTAAATTGATTGAAGTATTTAATATAATAAGAATAGATGTTGATGATTAAAATAATAGATATATTAATTTTTAATAATTAGGAAGATTATTTATATAATTAGACATATTTTAAACTATTTCAAACAAATAAGATTATCAATTAGAGGCTCAAAGTCTCAATAATCCGATGCAAAACTAACTCGTAATCATTAAGGTCGACAATAAGAAGAAGATTTAAATGAGAAATCATTTGCAATCATTTAAAATATAGAAGAAAAAGCAGATACACGGGCAACATTTTGCTTATTTAGAGTAATTTTGGATCCAATTTTATTGCAACTATCTAAATGTGCTATATTAATAAAAGAATATTTAGAAGAAAAATTTTAAGAAAAAGAAATTGATTATGAATCAATGTTAATTGCAATCTACGAAAAAAGTCTAACTTTCAAACCATCAATAAATCCAATAAGTGAACATTATAATAATAATCAGATAAAAAGAAAATTAAGAATAATCTTCATCATAATATTCAGCATTAGAGAAAATGAATTATATAGAAAGAAGGAACTAACTAATTATAAAATAGAAAATCTTAATTAAGAAAAAATTATGAAAGATATCTAAGAGTGTACATTTAAACTTAAATAATATCAAAAAAAGAATTTCCAAATGTAGTTGATAGATTATATAAAGTAAAGAATAGATAAGGAATAGAGGAAAGAGCAAAATGAACAGAATTAGAGAAAAAAGAGTAAGAATATAGTAAATGTTCATTTCATCCTTAAATTAATTATTTAATACCTGAAACTTAATCTATTAGAATAGGAGGATATTGGGAAGCAATAAAAAGAATTAGAAGAGCAAATGATAGAAGGAATTTAATTGATTTAAAATTGAATCATAAACCAAGTGGAGAAAATTATGAAAAATATAAGAATTAACCATTTTCACCTCCAGAAATGCTTTAAAGAAGAAAATATAAAAAGAATAACCAATTCTATACGCTGATATCAAATTAGGTCCTAGAAAAGTTGGATGATTAGCATTAAGAAAAAATGATGATGTTGTAGTTTAATCATTCTGTAAAGTTTGAGGTGTTGGATAACAAGATTATGAGTTATTATTAAATCAAGTAAATGAGTATCTTTAAAAGTAATTATTATTTAAAGTATTAATTTTAGTGTTATCTAAGAGACACAGAAGAATCATTATGAATAGGTATACTTATTAATGAATATAATTATATATATCTTATTAAATTTTCATAATACTGCATTTTAGTTAGATTGTAATTATGGACCCCAAAAACCGAAGTAATAGGCTGTATTTGGTTAATTTCTAACTTAATCTGGTTATTGCTAATTTTAAGGTACTTAATCATTATTTTATGCTGGAACTTAAACATAAGGATTTTAATCCTATTGAGGAGGAGGATATTATAAATTCTAATTTAAAGGAACTTAATTTTAATAGGCTTATTATTAAGGTTGTTCATAAGTTTATTGAGGTTATTAATACTATTGCTATTGATTAGCTTAAAGATATGGATTAATAGGCTAATTATATGTTTAATTTTAATGAACATAAGGATTTGGAACTTAATTATTATTTTGATTAGGTTATTAGATTTAAGGTTAAGGTTAATTGTTATTTAATTAAGGATATTCTTAATAACCATTATTGTAATTTACAGGAATACCCATTTAAGGACCGTTTTAGACATTCTATTATGGCATCTGTGAAAATTGTTAATTGTTTTATGGAGGCTATTAATACTGTGTATTTATGGGGGATTGTTAATATTATTATTGTGGCATTCCATAATTAGGTCCACCAATTGGAGAAACCTAAGTTGGATTTTACGGAATGCCCCATGTAGTATTTCCATAAGATTATTAATTTAAATGAGGTTGCTATACATAGATAATACTTGGATCATTTGGATCAATATAGGCTTGACTCTATGATCTTGCAAAGTTTTCCATCATTCGAGCATCAGGAACTCGTTATCCAGAACTTCTCTATCTTCTAATTTATGTTAACACACTAACTAGTATCTTTAAAAACTTATCACATCCTAATGTCATTAGATATTCTAACCTCCTGCTTTGAACCATAATTTAAAATGTGTTTTTCCTGGTAATAGATTGTATAAAGGATCCACGTTCCCTTCCAAATAGTTACTTCCAAATATTGGCTACTGAAATTTCTCTGCACTTAAATAAGCCAAAGGAATATCAAAAGACTTAAATGAGTCTTTCTAAAATTTGTCACTTACGAATACTATTCTACATGTTGTTACGTATACCTTATTTTAAACAAAAATTCTTACTTTTCCTCTAGCACTAAACTTACCAATATTTTCAATTTTAAATTCTCCTTCCATTTCATTTCTATACAGTATAAAGAACTCTTGATCAACTCTTAATGGAACTCCAGTTTAAGTAATTGGTGGATTTAAAGCCATATTATTCAATTAATTAAAAAAAATAGAATACTAATAAAAATAATTTAAAAAAATAAAAATAGATTATAAAGATATGAGTTGCTATTAAGAAAGATAAATATATTATAACATATGATTTTATTTATTATCTAATATATTTTATTATACTATGCATCAACGATTTGTTTTTGCTACTTTTTCAAGTTCATCTCTCTTTTTAATAGTGTAAGACTTTTATCCATCTTCATTGGCTGCTGCAATAAGTTCATCAGCAAGAGCTTCAGCAATAGTCTTCATTTTTTTAAAAACTGATTCTCTTACACCCTTAGCAAGATTATGGACTGCCTAATTGAAAAGTATAATTATTATAATTACTTCATTGACTCTTCTAATAGGAGCAACATCAACAGCTTATTATTTAGCAACACCACCAGTACCAACTTTTGTAAAATCTTCTCTAGCTCCACCTCTTTAAACAGCCAATGACAATACTGAAAGTGGATTCTTACCTGTTAACAAATGTACTATTTCAAATGCATGTCTGATTATGGCAACAGCCTTTACCTTTTTGCCTGTATTACGTCCATGGAACATAAGTGCACCTGCCAATCTTTCAACTATTGGACATTAAGCTTTTCTAAACTTCTTTCGTTGATATCTAATTTTTATCTCAATAAATACCTTCCAGCTGTATGGGGAACAAAAACTCTAGATTTTGAAGTTTAGACTGCAATGTAGTCTTTAAAACATTAATCTGTAACTTAAACTTCATCATAATCCCACTTCCCAAATAATTTAGGTTGATTTGCGAATTTTACAGTCACTACTTATTCCTCTGCCATTTTAAAAATAAGGATTTATTTTTAATTTAAAAATTCCTTATTCTAAACTTATTACATGATATGATCAGATAATATATATAAATATAATTAAATAATACTATCAAGCAGGCAACTAAGCTAATTATTTAAGTCTATCCTGTAAATTTTTTACTGTTTTCTATAATTCATCAATTTCTAGATTTTATTTTTTATCAATATCATTATTTTCTCTAATAGAATCTTACATTGTAGAAGATGTTTTCTATTACTCATCTAATCTCACTTCAATATTTTTGATTTCATTATTAAGTTTAAGATTTTAATCTTCTAAATCTCCTTCTAATTTTGAATTTCTTTAATCAATTAATTTAAGTTCTCCTTATAATTGTTAAAAATTAGCATTTATATCATCGACACGTTCTCCAAAAATGACAATTTTATCATTTAATTACTCAACATTTTAGGCTAACATTTATGAAAGATTTTAGATTTTNATTATAAAGATATGAGTTGCTATTAAGAAAGATAAATATATTATAACATATGATTTTATTTATTATCTAATATATTTTATTATACTATGCATCAACGATTTGTTTTTGCTACTTTTTCAAGTTCATCTCTCTTTTTAATAGTGTAAGACTTTTATCCATCTTCATTGGCTGCTGCAATAAGTTCATCAGCAAGAGCTTCAGCAATAGTCTTCATTTTTTTAAAAACTGATTCTCTTACACCCTTAGCAAGATTATGGACTGCCTAATTGAAAAGTATAATTATTATAATTACTTCATTGACTCTTCTAATAGGAGCAACATCAACAGCTTATTATTTAGCAACACCACCAGTACCAACTTTTGTAAAATCTTCTCTAGCTCCACCTCTTTAAACAGCCAATGACAATACTGAAAGTGGATTCTTACCTGTTAACAAATGTACTATTTCAAATGCATGTCTGATTATGGCAACAGCCTTTACCTTTTTGCCTGTATTACGTCCATGGAACATAAGTGCACCTGCCAATCTTTCAACTATTGGACATTAAGCTTTTCTAAACTTCTTTCGTTGATATCTAATTTTTATCTCAATAAATACCTTCCAGCTGTATGGGGAACAAAAACTCTAGATTTTGAAGTTTAGACTGCAATGTAGTCTTTAAAACATTAATCTGTAACTTAAACTTCATCATAATCCCACTTCCCAAATAATTTAGGTTGATTTGCGAATTTTACAGTCACTACTTATTCCTCTGCCATTTTAAAAATAAGGATTTATTTTTAATTTAAAAATTCCTTATTCTAAACTTATTACATGATATGATCAGATAATATATATAAATATAATTAAATAATACTATCAAGCAGGCAACTAAGCTAATTATTTAAGTCTATCCTGTAAATTTTTTACTGTTTTCTATAATTCATCAATTTCTAGATTTTATTTTTTATCAATATCATTATTTTCTCTAATAGAATCTTACATTGTAGAAGATGTTTTCTATTACTCATCTAATCTCACTTCAATATTTTTGATTTCATTATTAAGTTTAAGATTTTAATCTTCTAAATCTCCTTCTAATTTTGAATTTCTTTAATCAATTAATTTAAGTTCTCCTTATAATTGTTAAAAATTAGCATTTATATCATCGACACGTTCTCCAAAAATGACAATTTTATCATTTAATTACTCAACATTTTAGGCTAACATTTATGAAAGATTTTAGATTTTTTTTTGCTCTGAATTTATTTATTCAATGTTCTTATCAATATCTTATTACTTAAATATAATGGTTTCATTTTCTTTTTTAAGAATTTCAACATCAGTTATATTTTCATCTAATATATTTTTATGTTATGTTTAGATATCACTCAAATCTTTAATGTTTGTATTAATTTACTGAATATCTTATTTTATATTATCTACAGATAAATTTATTTCCTTGATTTGATTCTGATGATCTTCTTTAATTAATTATTATTATTATCTATATAAATTAAATGAAATACTTAAGCTCTTGAATACTATCAGCCATTAATTTTAATCCTTTCATCTGTGTCTATTAATAAACCTCATTTTAATCTAGAATTAGTTTAGTCTTTTCTACAACTACTTATTAGTTTTCTTCAATGACTTCTCTAAATATTCTAAATTTATTGGCAGAATCTTCATCCAATTTATTCACTTTATCTTCTAGAAATTGAACAGTAGCATTAACAGCTTCTAAGATTTGATTTTTTTCAATAGATATTCTCTCCAATAAATGAGTTTATTAATCTTCAATAACAGTTTAAAAATCTTATCTTATCATATCAATATTCTATTCAATAATTGTTTATCTAGAATTAAGATCTTATTTCAATCCTTCGAATGCTGTTATATGTTATTTAAAGGATTCGCCAAATTTGGAAAATATCACTTTAACTTTTTCATATTTCTAAGCAGATGTCTTAATAGCCTAAAATAAATCAAGATTGTATTAACCTTATTAATTTCATCATCAATATATAAAGATAATCTCTCTGCTTTTTCTGCTTAATCTTTCTCTAATTATTTTACTTAAGTTTGTAATGCTCTATTAGCCATTTCTATTTGATCTTTTAAACTATTCAAATCTGAAACAATATCAGTAGCAATAGCAGATGTGAGATTTTTTAATTCTGTATCTGTTGATAATCTAGTTTATACTTCAATTCTTATCATATCTGTTATTTTTTCAGTAATATTAGCTTAATGAGTTTTGAATAACTCATTTTCTTATTTGATATTCTCTTAAATCTTCAATAAATCTCCTCTTAATTAAACTTCATGTGAATATCTTTAAGCTTCTTCATTTTAAATATTTACTAGAATTTAATTCACTTATGTTTCAATAATAGTTTACAATGAACGAATGGCTTCATCTTTTTTTTATGAATCAACCCGTTAAAATTATTCTAAAGATCTTAATTATGATATAACTTCCTCTCTCTCATATTACAATCTCTCCATATTGATTTAATCCTTTAAACTCTAAGCTTATTTCATCTCTTCCATAGTTTTGACTCTCTATTCATGTTCCATCACAATTCTATTTATAACTTCGGTTACTCTAGTATCTAATCTTTAAGTATAATCTTATTATATCAATTATAGCATTCCCTTAAATTCCTCTTAGATTCTCTAATTAGCCATATCTACTCTATTTATTTATTCATGATCTTTTAATTAATCTTTCTAAATCAATTAATATTTACTCATACCCCTAATGCTAACAAATTAGCCTCTAAAGCCATCACTCTTTTTTCTATTCTCTCATTTGTTTCATTAATAAAATTCATTCCAGAATCACCTCTCTATGCAACTTAAATTAATGCCTTCTCTCCATTATAAATCTTACTTTCCATTCCATTAATTCTTTACTCAAAATGTTAATGAGAAGTTGATAATGATTCCTATAATTTCTCTTACAATTCTCCTAATCTTACCATCTCCATAAATAATGCTTTTGTTTTCTCTCTCTCCTTTTATAAATGAGAACTCTCTTCTGTTATCTTCTCTTACAACATTCCTCTCATCTATAATACCTCATTAGTATCTTTATTCTAAGTGTTCTTTAAAAAGTACAACAACTCTTTAAGATTTTACTCTTAAATTGCTACTTTCGAACCCAATTCACTCTTCTATCGATCTTATGCTATAATCTTTGTTTCCAGTGAATACATCTTATTCTATAAGTCTTCAAACATTTAGTTTGGCTATTTATCATTATTTCATTTTTACATCTCCCATTTATCCTCTTGTCCTTACTTCTCTTTCTAACTCAACTAACATTTTTGAATTTCTCTTAACTTCCTATGTAAGTTACTTTTCCAGCATTTACACTTAATCCTATAATTAAGCCAACCTATCCATTTAAAATTGACTTTATTCCTAATTCTCTATAGGTACTGAAGTATTTGCAAAGTTTCTTCTTGATTCAGCTGTCCTTGTTGGTTCATTCTTTACTTCCTATGACCGTCTATAATCTGGTGCTTAAAATCTAGATTCTCCTGTTATTGGATTTATTGCTTAACGACCTGCCTTATATTTAGATAGGATTATCTTACTTAACTTAAACTCATTTACAATATTTTACTATATAAATAATTATTATTAAATATAATTTTTAGATAACCTATTATATCTCTTCGTTTTTTGAATCTTTTATTACTTCCTAACCATTTTGGAGTATACTTACTACTAAATTAATCTAGTGTAAAGTATTATATTAGCAGAATTTGTAAATTAATTAGTTCATTCTTTCTATACTTTATTTAATATATGTGATTATAGATATAATTTATAAAATATTAAATATTGATTGATATATAAATTCATACATTCAAGCATCTTCATCATCTAAATCATGACCATATTATCCATCATCATCAGCAAATCCGCCATCTATATCTTCTTCAATTTAATCATCATCATTTTTCTATTATTTTGAATCAGGTTTTTTTTCTTACATTTTTTACATGACTTATTTTTTATTTTTCCTCAAAAGCTCTTTAAAATTTTCTGGTAAATCTGTTTTACATCTTCCATATTCATAGTCTACTTCAATTTGTTCATTAGTTTCTAATATAATTAATACTCCCTTTCCATGAAAAGTATCATCTTTAAAATTTCCTTGATATTACACTTTTCCGTTACTATATGTATACTTTCCATCCAAACAATCTAATATTTAATATCAAAATTACATCTTTATCCATTACGAAATAATCCCTTATATTCACTTCCATCCTCATAAATTAAAACACCATCTTTTGGTTTATCATTTTCAAATTCTCCTTCAAAAATTAAATCACCAAAATACAATTTTCCACTAGTTCTTTTAAATTCATCAATGATTCCGTCAAACAAATGATTTTAACCATATGTAAAAATTCCATCTCTTGGAGTATTTTTTACAAATTTTCCATCAAAATTTGATTTGTTTCTATAAATTTCTTTTCCTTCTATTTTTTCACCTAATTTTATTTCTCCTTCATATTAAATAATTTATCTTTTCTTTGGTAAATTCTTCTAACTTGTTAACACATATATTATTTCACCCTAACCATTAGGAATATATTTTTATTCATCAAATTCTCCTATATAAATATACTTATTTAATTCTACAATAATTTTTGCATGATTTTCAAATAAATTTAATAGAATATATGTAACAGCTTTTGATGTTTTCATTTCAATAGTTCCATCTTTACTTAAACTACCATTTTCAAATATTCCATAATGCCATTAATCTTCAAATTTTCCATATCCATATCCATGAGGTATTATCTTATCATCATCTAATTTACCAAATCCAACATATTATTGATCAACATCAATAGCTTATTAAAAGAATGGATATTCAACTTTTAATGGATTATCAGGATAACAAATCAATAATTAAAATATAGATCTTTTTTGTTAATCCAAAGATAAAATTTAAGATAAAATAGGCAAAATAGTTTTGTAATCTCCTTCAAATGGCTTTTCCACTTTAGCCAATGAATTTATTTATTTTTTTAATTAATCTTTGAATTTATCAAATTTTTATTAATCTTCTTTAGTCCTATCAGTTTTATGATTTTCTCGAAGTACTTTTAGAACTGATTATAATATATTATCTTTTAGTTATCCATCTTCAAAAAAGAAATCGACTGAATTTATCTTAGTGATTGCACATAAAATAACTAAACCTGCTTAGAAAGAATATGTATAAATTAAATTTGCGAGGGATTTATCCTTAAAAAAGTTATCAGTACTTGGTATGTATGGTCTATGAAACTTAGAGCCTTTGTATGAAATTCCCATATTAGAAATAACATATTTATCTCCATCGACAAATATATTTTAAGGTGCTAGATCCAGAAATTCGTAAGTTGTGCGACCTATAAATAATTTATTATGATTATGACTTACCTGTAATAAGCAGATTTTTACAAAATGTTATCAGCAATTCTAAAGCCTATTATTAGTTTAATTAGTCTTCTTAATCTAATCTCTTTTTCAATTAATTTAATCTATATAAAACATATAGATCTGATTATTTATCATTTATTTCTTTCTCTCCAATCATCACTATTCTTGTATTGATTTCATTAACACATTCCAACATAGCTCTTTAAAGTTACAACACTTTTGTTCTAAATATCTCAGGTCCCAAATTTTCATAAATTTACAAAATATATTTCTATCCATCCTTTGCATGTGACATTGTATAACATATTGATGAAATTCCCAAATAAAAATCTCTTCCTTTTCCAATTACACTTTCTTATGTGTAATTTTTATTTATGTAACTGGCATCAACAACAATTGAATTGTATTATTATAACATTAATTAAAAATAATATCAATATTTAACAAGATTAAAATTATGATCACTTACAAATCTAAGATTAATTTTTTTTGTTCAAATTTATATTATGAGGACAAACATTATAAAGAATGATAAATTCAATTAATTTTGAACAAAAATTATATCAAACTTTATTAAACAATTCAGGATGCTTAAGTTAATATGTTAATTTAATGACCCTTCACTTCTAAATATAATTTTATTAATTACTCTTACCACATTATGATGTGGACATTCAAAATTACTTTAAATTTCGCTGGCTAAACTTTTCAATCTTTTTTTTCTCTTTCCTCAAAATGAATATTGTATTTCTACTTCCAATTATTGAAATTTTTATATCATTTCTGTTTTTTCTTTCAGTAATTCCTTAATCTACAGAAAATCTTAATATTCACTAATACCTTTTTCTTAAATTAATATTACAAAGATTTTACTTAATATTTTCACCTTAATAATCACCCAATCAATATAAAAATAAATTATATATTTAATATTTATTATAAAATATTAGATATATATAAAAAATAAATTATCATTAATGTTATTTAATATTTATATATCATTTTCAACTTGCTATTAAGCAACTTGGGCAAATTTTATGTTCTTCCTTTAAAGAGGATTAATGAAGATAGAAAAAGTTACAAATCTTACTCTTATTGCATTTTCTGTATTATTAATAAACTTTTAAACTCTCTTCTATTGATTAAAGCTAATTTAAAATAAATCTGTATTTTTATGCTTCAGCGTTATACTTATCACCCAATAAATATAAAATTTAGAATTAAACTTTTTAATTGCATAAACATTGTAGGTTTGGCTTTTTTTATATTAATTAATTCTCAACAAGAATATTTAAACATTTAACGTGGTAAAAATGTTAACATGGCAATTAAACCTATTCATCATCATTGATTAATTATTAACAAAAATAACATTATGTAATTTAAAGTGATTGAAGAGAGACGAAGTTTTCCACATTCTATGATGATTCTAAAGACATAGCCGAAGATTTATTTATTTGTTCATCATTTAAGCACTTTAAGGAATTGTTGTTGTTTAATCCTGGTGATTCGTAAATCTATTACTTCTAAAACCCATATTATCCAATGCTAGGCTATTTTTTAATTTCTGATATAGATTTCTATTCAAAGTTTGAAACATAAAATGCTATGAGATTATTTTTATTATGATATTCTTTGAACAAACTATTTCGATCGATATTTTCACCATCAAATTACAATTTTACTTGAATTTATTCTTTAGACAGCTTTGCATATTTGCTCATATAATCATAAATATTTTCATTTTCATTGACCGACTCTAAATGGGATTTTTATCCCATGATTATTAGAATTTACATGATGATCAATATATTAATAATTAAATATTAAACACTTTCACTATATTTTAAATGGCACCTAAAAACTTAAAAAAAAATATTCAGTGCTTGAAAAAAACGATTAAGCAATTGAAAAGAAATTTAATTATATTAAACAAAATTACTAATAGAAATTTAGTTGAAATATTGAATCAAAAATGAATTGTTGATAAAGAATCTTCAGCATCAAGGAATATAATTAATAATATAACTCTCATTGAGGTCTTAGACAATAAGAGAAGCTTTCTAATAGAGAATAAAACTGTAGTATTAAATTAATGAATTATATCACTTGATTGATTAGGAAATCTATTAATTAGAGTCTAAACTAAAAATGCTTATTTATAACCATAATTTGTAAACATAATAATTTTAATAAAGATGGATAGGAAGAAAATGTAAAGGTTTAAGCTAATGATGCAAAAGAGGAATGTTAATTAGAAATTGTTTACAATAGTAATTGTAGAAAGGCTATGATAATATAAGAAAAATAAAAATGAAGTAAATTTTTAAGTCTCTTAATAATCTCATAATGAGAAGAACACATGTGATAAATAAGTTATTAGATATTATGTATAATTTTGCATTTAAATCACTTATTGTTTCAAATAATATAAAATGAATATATTTTTTTTATTTAATTTATAATTAAAACAGAAAAATAATTAATATAAATTTAAATGAGAATGATTGAAAATTTGTATTAAAAGTAGTAATAGAAATAATATATCATTTAAATTTGTTACATAAAGACAATTAAAATAATTAAAATAAATATTATGAAAATTACATAAGAAATTGTTGGCGATGGCTTGACAAGCTAAATAAAAATTGTTTAGATTGAAAATCAAAAATATGCTATAAAAATTTTTCGAAATTCTTATTCCTCAGAACTAATAAGAAAAGAAATTAATATACTCTAATAAATTAATCATCCTAACATTATAAAAATGATAGAGGGTAATATTGAAAACAAATACATTATAACAGAGCTTTTGAATGAGATGGATTTATTTGACATTTTAACAAAGAAATAGAATGGATTTTAAATAAATTCTATTAAATATTTTAGCAAATAAATGGCATTAGTTATAAAATATTTACATGAAAAAGGATTTGCACATAGAGATCTTAAATTAGAAAATATACTATTGGATGAAAACTAAAATCTAAGATTGTGTGATTTTGGAATGGCTGAAAAGATGGATAAAAATTTAGTTTAAAAATATTTAGGAACATTAGGTTATTTAGCACCTGAATTTTGTACATAAGGATTTATAAGTGCTGAAGAATTAGCAAAGGCAGATGTATATTCATTAGGGATATGTATATTTATTTTGGCATTTTTTCATCCTCCTTATAATTATAACACTTAAATGTGTTTAAATAGAAATTTAATTTAAAAAAGATAATGGCAATAATATTGGGAAAGAACAGATAAATAGAAAAAATTTAATTAAGAGTTTTATAGTTTTTTAGAAGGAATGTTGGAATAGGATCCTGAGAGAAGATTTACTATTTAAGAAGTGCTTGAACATTCTTTTTTGTAAGGAGAATGGAAAGATGATTTTAAAAAAGAAATAAGAGAGAGGTTGAGATAGTGAAACAAGTATTGAAATACTATTTATGTAAATATAGTTTTGAAAATATTTATTTTAATCAATTAATTTATTAATGTAAATACAAAATAAAATTGGAGAAGGGTTATTCGGTCAAATTCATAAATGCTTAACAGATGAAGGGAATATATATGCAATTAAAATTTATAAGGAAGAGTGCCCCAAAAAATTAAGAGAGAAAGAAATAAAGATTTTGTAATCGATTAATCATACAAACATTCAGAAAATTGTGAAATCAGATTGTGAATACAAATGGTTCATTACAGAACTCATGAATTATGATCTCTATTCTATGATCACTAAACGTGGCAGTTTCTAATAGAATACCATAAAATAAATTCTATTATAACTAAGTAATGGACTGTCTTATTTACATTAACTTGGTTATGTTCATAGAGACATCAAATTAGAAAATGTAATGGTGAGTAAAGAACCTATAGTTAAATTTATAGATTTTGGTCTATCTGTTTACATTGACTCTAATAAGCTATATCCAAGACATTGTGGCACTTCCACTTATATGGCACCTGAGTTAAATTTAGAAGACAAACTAATTATGGGAGAAATTCTGAAGAAATCTGATGTTTTTGCACTTGGTGTTTTAATATTCATTCTTTATTATGGATGTCCTCCATTTACAATTGCAAAATCTACTGAATGCAAATTTTGGCAAACTATTGAATAAAAAAAATGGCAAACCTTTTGGAATTATTTTGATAAAAAAATTATTAGATCAGATGATCATTTTAAGAATTTGATCTAAAATATGTTAGAACCTGATCATAAATCTAGATTTACTATCCAATAAGTCAAGTAACATCAATTCTTAAATGAAGAAGGAAATTTAAATGAACTATAATGAATATTTAACTTATTATTCCAATTTCTTTAATTTATATTATAATATCGATTATATCAATTTTCTTAAAGAAGATAATCATATATGCTTATTAACTCTTTATTTAAATTAAACAAACAGATACTTTGTTAATTCATATATAAAAACTTTTAATTTTTAATCAACAAAGTAAATTAAACTACTACCTTACACCATATGGTATTTAGTTTATTCATCAAAAAGAGGATTGTCTTATAATCAAATTAGAAGTTAGTAATTATTAACTATTATCAAAACAAAGAATATAAATAAAAGAAGGTTTAGAAGAAATAAAAGTTTACTTGAATTTTTATAAAATAATTTGATTATAAAAACAAAATGTAATAATTTCAAAGATTAAATTCAGAATAAACTACTTTTAGATGTAATCCTAGTTAAAAGCCAAAAAATATTAATCCATCTCATTATATTTCATAGAATAAAAAGATTAAGTTTTTAGATTGTCCCATATAGGAAAATTAATCTGATGTAGATTTCAAAAAATATATGGAAGAAAGATTAAAAATATTTCAAAAAAATATTTCAGATTCTTTAAATCCATATAATATTATACATCATGACTCTAGGAATAATTAAATTAATAAATAGAATTTTTAATAACAAACTCTTTTTTTTCCAGGACTATGTTTCTTTGAATCAATTTCAAACTTGAAATAACTTGAAGAAGAACAGAAAAAATTGCCTTATGATGAAATAAAATTAAATGATTAATTAATCATGATACTTAGATATCATACAATTGAAATTTATGATCAACATGGATAAAAGATTGAAACTAAGAAATCTTTTCCTTTTGTGAATTAACCTGTATCTAAAGATATAAAGTATAATTAAATAATAGGATAAAAAGATGAATAATTATTGAAATAATCAGGAAATTTTGTTACGAGCAACATAGTCGATTCATATGCAAATTACCTATATTTTAGTTTAAAAGCTGACGATCGTAAAATGTATAAGCGCACATTCATTTTTTGTTCTGACTTTATAACAAATTGTACAATTAAAAAAGAGAAAAATGAAGTAAAATGGTTAACTTTATTTTATGAATAAATAAGTAATTTTTCGTCAATATAGTATCAATTTTGGCATATCTACAAAAATATAATTTTTGTGGTAAATCACAATTTACATTGGTTTTTGTGTGAAATTAGATTTAGATAGTAATACTTTGGAAATATATGATTCTATTCGTAAAATGCCATCTGCATATGAAAGACTCTAAAATTTTTTGTAAACAATTTTCTCTGAAATAAAAAGAAATCAACAAACATTCATGATTAAAATAATAGAGAATTTTCCTCAATAACAAGACTGGTATTCATGTGGTTATTTTTCTTGTATAGCATTGAATTATTTATGTAAGAGTTAAATAAATATGGGTTGTGATGTTTAAGAAAAATATATAAGTAAAGGAGAGATGAAATAAATATTAAAAGACTTATTGATAGAAGATAATTGTTATAATGATATAGTATGATGTTATTAAAATGAAAAAATTTATGGATTAATATATTATAATAATTTTTTACTAATGTTTGACTGTTAATATGAATATTGGTGTAATAGAGAGATCCTATACTGAAAGATTGTGTTGTTTTTCTTTTGTTTATTTGATAATTTATTTGAGGAAAAATTGTGGAAAGGAGATGAATGTATAAAAAAACAATTGAAATAAAAAGGAGAAGGAAGAGATAAAAGAGAATTAAAAATAATTTATTAAATGTTCTATAAAAGGATCAGTAGGTTTAAAAATAAGAAGAGTGTATGAAAGAGTTTAATTTTGGATAATTATTACAATANATATAATATTATACATCATGACTCTAGGAATAATTAAATTAATAAATAGAATTTTTAATAACAAACTCTTTTTTTTCCAGGACTATGTTTCTTTGAATCAATTTCAAACTTGAAATAACTTGAAGAAGAACAGAAAAAATTGCCTTATGATGAAATAAAATTAAATGATTAATTAATCATGATACTTAGATATCATACAATTGAAATTTATGATCAACATGGATAAAAGATTGAAACTAAGAAATCTTTTCCTTTTGTGAATTAACCTGTATCTAAAGATATAAAGTATAATTAAATAATAGGATAAAAAGATGAATAATTATTGAAATAATCAGGAAATTTTGTTACGAGCAACATAGTCGATTCATATGCAAATTACCTATATTTTAGTTTAAAAGCTGACGATCGTAAAATGTATAAGCGCACATTCATTTTTTGTTCTGACTTTATAACAAATTGTACAATTAAAAAAGAGAAAAATGAAGTAAAATGGTTAACTTTATTTTATGAATAAATAAGTAATTTTTCGTCAATATAGTATCAATTTTGGCATATCTACAAAAATATAATTTTTGTGGTAAATCACAATTTACATTGGTTTTTGTGTGAAATTAGATTTAGATAGTAATACTTTGGAAATATATGATTCTATTCGTAAAATGCCATCTGCATATGAAAGACTCTAAAATTTTTTGTAAACAATTTTCTCTGAAATAAAAAGAAATCAACAAACATTCATGATTAAAATAATAGAGAATTTTCCTCAATAACAAGACTGGTATTCATGTGGTTATTTTTCTTGTATAGCATTGAATTATTTATGTAAGAGTTAAATAAATATGGGTTGTGATGTTTAAGAAAAATATATAAGTAAAGGAGAGATGAAATAAATATTAAAAGACTTATTGATAGAAGATAATTGTTATAATGATATAGTATGATGTTATTAAAATGAAAAAATTTATGGATTAATATATTATAATAATTTTTTACTAATGTTTGACTGTTAATATGAATATTGGTGTAATAGAGAGATCCTATACTGAAAGATTGTGTTGTTTTTCTTTTGTTTATTTGATAATTTATTTGAGGAAAAATTGTGGAAAGGAGATGAATGTATAAAAAAACAATTGAAATAAAAAGGAGAAGGAAGAGATAAAAGAGAATTAAAAATAATTTATTAAATGTTCTATAAAAGGATCAGTAGGTTTAAAAATAAGAAGAGTGTATGAAAGAGTTTAATTTTGGATAATTATTACAATAGATGGTGAAAATAATATTTGATAGGAAATATTTTAAGTTCAATGTAACAAAAATATGATATTAAGTAGATGAATAATAATTATGGTATTCATAATGGTATTCAATGAATAATGAAATCTAGAATTATCAAATGCTGAATATTTAAGAGAATAATAATAGATACATATACTTTATATAAAAGATATGTCCAATATCACTGTAATCTATATAATTGAAAAAAAAGACAGAGATAGAATAGAGTTGTAGTGAAATTACTTAATATGGAAAATATGGTAAATGCTAGAATTTGGTTTTATCAAAATTTTTTGTTTTATTACCTGTATTCTATGTCATTGAAAATATCATGTAAGTAAATTATTTAATAAAGACTTTAAAAAATAAAAGTGAATCAAACTCATGTTGTAAAGGTTAATGCCAAAAAAATAAGAAGAATCTTGTAATTGCAGAATTAGTGTGTATGATGAAAAGAAACAGAAATATTGATGTCCTTGTCACACCAAAGGGATAAGAATATGATTCATAATTGTGTAAATGAAATAGATTAGAGAATAATTAGTCTTAAAAAACCTAGAATGTTTGGAATATAAATTAAAAATTTTTTAATTTTGTTAGAGAATATAAAGGAAATTATCAAGATAATACAAAAAATGATTACTTATATTATAAATCAATAAATACAGAAAGTAGACTCCTACAGTCTGGTCCATTTAGTAAATAATTATATTTTTCTTGCTTAAGAAACAATTCTCTTAATTTCAGGATTTCGTTCTAATGGAGCATTTAAATCTGTTAATCCTGTACTCCATGGATATGCACCATGGTTAAGTAATAGTTTAACTATTTCTTAATGATTTTCCATTATTGCTATACTTAAAGGAGTTCTATTCATCAAATCTAAAGCATCAAAATCTGCATGATAATGTAATAATAATCTCACCATATCTAACCATCCATATTTACATGCCCAATGAAGAGCTGTCATATTATAATAATCATATTAAAACACTAAATAAGGATGAGTAATTAAAAAACTCTACATCTGTTCTATTCTATTCTACTTTGATGCAAATATAAATTCCTTTGAAAATTAACAAGAAAATGCTTTCTTACTAAACACCTACTTTTATATAACATCAACTATAGACAATCCAAGAAGTTTTATCTTTTTCAAAGAACGTCTTAATAATTCTACTTTTCTCCGATTCCTTTTTCTCTAACTTTATCCAAAGAATTTTAAACTAGATGCATCTATCTAAGGAGTAGATTTTGCTTATAAATCATGAATTCTCATTTTTCTTTATACTCCTTTTACTTCCAAATCAATTATTTCTCTATTAGGTCTTATCTCTATTTGTTATGATTTTAATTCTCTAGTTCTACATTATTATACAGATGATTATCTATCAAATATTTTCTATGCTGTCTATGGTTTTGGTTCAATCAATTTATAATTTGTATTCTGATTTTATTACTAAAATAATTTCCGATTCTTTTTATTTATCATTAATGGTGAAGGACTATTTGATGCACAAATCTTATCAACATTTTTAAAGTCTCCACTATCATAATGTACTATGTGCTTAAGAGAATGATTTCTTAAAAATTCTCTAATCTACTCATCTGATGGCACATTGATCTTTTATTTCTTTAAAAGTGACACCATTTTATTAGGAGGCAACACAAAAAACTTATAGTCATAATCTATTTTCTTTTAGCAACATTACCTTTTACAGCTAATCTATGTTTCAATTATGGAAACCAAGGCTTTGCAGTATTTATTGTGCATTTATTTGGGGTTGTTTGTTTATCAATTATTCTCTTATAATACTCCTATTCAAACATTTTATTTTAGCTTTATCTATGCTCTAATTAAACAATATATTATAAATCAATTTTTATACTTTTTCGATATATACTAAAATTAAGTAAAATAAAATAATATCTATAAGATCATATCCTTTTAATATATTCAATTATATCTCAATTTTATTACTTCTTACAAATAATACTTATATATCTAACTCTTAATTTAATTATTCTATATTATTCACATTTATTTTATTTTTTCTAATCTTATTAAAATAAATTATATCTTTAGAATCAAATCTAAAATTTATCTCAAATTTATTTCTTTAACTAGATTGTAACAATTCCATAGTATAAAATCTATTCTAATATTTAAAAGTGATTTCTTTGGGTAAACACGAAATATTAAATATATAGCTCCGGTTATTGCTTTGATTTTAAATTAAACTCAGATTTAAAGAGTTTTCTCTAAATTCTGATGAGAATATAAGATAAAGAGATTGTAAATAAAGTTATTTATAGTGATAATTTAATTATTTATTTAACAATCCTTGATCATGAAAAATCTTGAGAGTTCTATTAAAGCACATATTCCACAATAAATTATTAGAGTAGCAGAAAAGTTGGAATAACTTTTTGTAAAAGAGACTCGACATCATTAATCATAAATCCTATATTTTAAGATAATGGCAAAAAACCATAAGAGAATAAAAAAATAATTAAAAGAAGAACCTAAGATAGGATTATCTGAATTGGGTCATTTATAACAGACACTAAAAAAATCAGGATCATTTGGAAATGAAAACTCTTAATCAATTATAGTAAAAATTTATAAATTCATTCATTAGCATTGCATGCAAATTTTGAACCCAGAATTTGATAGATAAATATATATAGATGAACTTACAACCGTAGTTAGTGAATAAATACCATATGAAAATTAAGATTTTATATATGATTGTTGCGATATTAATTTATGATAATTTATTATTATATTTCATAATTTTAAAAAGCTATTGATATTATGGACTATTAAATTCAATATTTCAAAATATATAAATACAAAAAGCAGTATCAGGAAATATTTATAATTTTTAATTTAAAATCATTCTATTTTTAAAAGGTATAATTATTATTAATGCTAAACTTCAAATAGTAAATGTTTAATATTTTATTTAGAAAGTAGTAATTGATTTCTATATGAATTGATTTTTTTGGGATAAATTAAATATTATGAATTAAATGTAATGGTTAGATCTGAAAAAAAAAAAAAATAAAAAGTTGAGGGATTAAGATTTAATTAGACAAATTAATGTAGTAATGATTAATTATTTTCTTAAAAAATTGTTAAAATTTATCTAGTGATTCATCAAAAATAAATTGTGATAAGAATTAATTTATTAATTTATTTAAATGAGTGCTTATATTCATATTCCATTTTGTTTAAAAAGATGTTTTTATTGTGTTTTTCCTGTTCATGTCATAGGATAAACAGAGATAAATTAAAATTACTATCAAAATATTTTGGAGAAACAATATGTTGAATATTTGATTAAGGATATAAAAAATCATTATAAGGGAGAAACATTAAAAACTTTATATTTTGGAGGAGGAACTCCTTCTCTTCTCTCAATAGAGAGTTTACAAGTATCTAAAATTTTGAAAAAAAGTTAATATTGAAATGTTTTAGGATATCATAAAGTACAGAAATAACAATAGAAGCTGATCCCAAAACTTTTAATGAAAATAAACTGAAATAATTGAAAAGTATGGGGGTATACATTTGTGTGAAATATTAAGTTTAATAGACTCTCTGTAGGAATTTAATCATTGTAAGATGACACATTAAAAAAATTAAATAGAAGCCATCTTCGAAAGGATATAGATAATGCCTTGTAAATAATTGAAAAAGTTTATGGGTCATTTGATAATTGTTCTTTTGATTTCCTTTATAATTTACCTTAAGAGGTTGAATAACGTTCACTTGATGATTTAAAATATTTTATTGAAACATTTGAGCCAGGACATATATCTGCTTATTCATTAAGTATAGAAGAAGAATCTTATTTCTATAAAAAATTAAATTATAGAGAAGGACTTCATCCTCTTCCTAGTAATGATGTTTAAACTTGTAATTATACTAAAGTACATTAAATCCTAAATTAATATGATCATTATGAAATATCTAATTTTGCAAAATCAGAGAAACATATTAGCCAACATAATAAAAATTATTGGTTAGGCAATAGTAATTTTTATGGTTTTGGTATGGGAGCCACTTCTCTATAAGATTTAATTAGAATTACTCGACCTTAAACTTTGAAGAAATATTATAATTTTGTAGATTCTGGATAAGGTAGTTTAATTGAGGATGAAAGTTGTGAATTTGAAAAATAACGTATACTATTGATGAGTAGATTACGAACAAAATGGGGCATTGATAAAAATTTATTATCAGAATAACTGATAGAGGCCATGAAAAAGTTTTAAGAATATTTTATTTTTAATAATGATAATATTAAACTAAAAATTCCAGAAGGTTACTTAGTGTGTGATGAGATTGTTGGATATTTGTAAAATATCAAATGAAAATAATTAAGAATTTCATTGAGTATTTATCATGTTTTATATGTTTTATTGATACAAATATGAGGTAATATTACATTTTATAATTTTTGATTATTCTATCCTTATTTTCAAGAATATAAATTTTAAATTTATTTATTAAATTAGATAATTTAGAGATATAAATTATTCTGATTACTTTTAAATTTTAATTTACACTATAAATCAACTAATTAATTTTGGTATTTATACGATATTTAATACCTAAAATTGATAAATATTTTAAATTTAATTTAGAGGAATGTCTCTTGTTTCTTATTATTTAATATGCAGCAGAATAAAGAGTTCTTTTTAAAAAAAAATCTCAATTATCTATTGGCTATTGATTGTCTAAATTAACTTACATGAGAAACTTGTAAACAATAAAAAGATAGAGTTTTATTTGAAAAAAAGATTTTTTTTTGTACAAATAGTATTTAGCATTTATCAATAAGATTTTTACTTTATAACTTTTTTAATACAAAGCTTTTCTTATGTTTTCATAGAGCATTTTTCCTTAAAAGTTGTTATTCCTCTCTTTTTAATCAAATACTGCTTAATAGAGTTTTTGAAAATATCGTTAACTTATAAACTATAATTCATTTATCCATTGACAAAATTTGAGGATAAATTAAAATATTTTTGTTTTGAAAATAAGGAACTTTTGTATATAGTAATTTAGATGAATGAGTAAAGAAAAGTGATAATTGCAAAAAATGATAGAAATGTAAAGATATTGAATTATAGACCAGTCATAGAATTAATTAATGGAAGTGATACATTGTCATATTAATAATAATTAGTCATTTTGAATTAATATAATAATTAGTATGAGTATTTTAAATTGTCTTGATATAGTTTAGCAAATTGCTAAATGTATTCTATAAAAGAGGTACAAATAAAAGGTAGATATGAATTTTAACCTTGAATGTAACTTAATAAGAAAGAGATGGAATTAAGATGGAGAAAATAATTTAGCAATTCAATTTTATTTGAAAAAATAATTGAAACCATATTTAGTAGAGGAATGGAATATTTTATGCAATTTGCAATAAATTAATGAAAATTCTTAGTAATTTTTTGAGAAATGCATTGAATTAACATAATTAACTCCATTATAATAAAAATAAGATAATGAAATAGATCATATCATTCATTTGAATGAGAATAAAAGTACAGATTGGATTGATCCAAATTTGATAGCCACAATGTAAATTAAATTATCAAATAAAATGACAGTAAACGTTGCATATTTATAAAAATTTGATCCAATTGATTAAAAGGAGAAAATATCAATAAATGAATTTAAGTCTTTTAGAAGAGATAGATTTCTTTCAGATGATTTACATACATAAAATGGTAATATATATATATAATATTATATATAGATTCTCAATTACGAAAGACTAGTTTTCATGATTTAGATGGTCTTAGAAAATATAAAAAAAATCAAGCTATCATAACATAAGCAATTCATAGGAAAAATGATTCTATTTGTAATAATAATTATGAAATTAGCCTCTAATTCAAGTAAAAATAAATAAACACAGTTATTAACAATAATTAATAAAAAAGATGATGTAGAAATTCTATCATCAGCTGAAGATGCATAAAAAATAATTGATTAGGATGAAAATGGTGATTATGAAATATAAATGATAATTGATGAATAACCAATGGATAAAGGATAAACTGTAATAATTAAATCAATTTCATAAATGCATCCTGTAACAGATTTAATTCTTAAAATTCGAGAGAAAAAACATCACTACAGTTAATAATTAAATGAAACTTTGAGTTTTATTAAAAGTTACACATGAGAGAATTAAAGTAGTTTTATTTTGTAATTCAATTTTGTTAACTTAATTAATCAAGAATCCAATCATGCCATTCAGATTCATCTAAATTTTAAGCTTTTTCAAAGAGAAGTGAAACTAATACTTTTCTACCTGGATGATTTGTAGGTAATTCACTCTTAATTTCTAATGCTAAATCAAAGAACTTTCTTTTAATATCTTTATCTTCTAATATTGATTAGTTCTATAATTCTGATTCTTTCTCTTTGCATGATTCTACTGCCTTTTATAACATCTAATATAAATCAGTAGTATCATGTTAGCATTAAGACATATAATGTTCTATTCTTTTGATTATTGATCTAATCTTCTCAATTTTCTAAGAATTCAAAACTTCTTATAAAGCATCTACTGTTTCCATTATTACTTATTAACTATATTTTTTATCAGATAAATTAGATTATATTTAATCCTTTATAAGTGATATTCTACAGTTAACATCGATAATACTAGTATCTGCCATTGATATACCAGATCGTTCCATTTTATCAGATATGAAACTAGTGTATAAATTATAATTAGCTTTCTTTCCTTAAAACTTTTCTAGAAACTCTTCAACCAAATTAAACATTTTATTCATTTCCTTATAAATTCGTAAATCGTTACTTTTTCATTCTTTTAAAATGGTGTGATACTCTCAATCGATACAAATGTGCAATCAACACTCTAGTTCATCTTTTCAACAATTTAACTATAATCATTGCTGATGTTTGTTACATCCTTACGTATTTATTGATTTAATTATCTAATATTCTCTTTTTACTATAAAGAAGATTAATAATCTTTTAATAATCCTAACACTCTTGTTTTCAATTATGTCATTTCTTCATACAATTCATCTTATGTTACTAATATTCAAATTAATATATACTCTCTTTTATTTGTCTTAAAAGTCTTGAAACATTTGATCCATTCAAGTCATCTATTATAGTGCTTTAATTCATATGCAAAATATTTAAATTAAATAATACTATTTTCTTATTAATATTTTATAATCCTTTATAAATTTACTAAACACTTTAATAAATTATACACACTTACTACAATTAAATTTGTAATGAAGTATAATCGATAATTATATCGATAAATATATATATATAATTCAATATCTAAAAAAAAAAGAAAATCTATTTAATCTACTTTTTACATGAAAAATACAATTTATCATAATTGTGTATTTCTAATATATGAACAAACAATTTTAATTATATTTTATTTGTGATCAAATAAAAAAGTATAATAATTTAATAAAATATGAAAGCAGCATAAAATTAATTAAATGCAAAACAAAGCAATGAATTTAAGTCGATAATGGTATTGAATTCAATTAATGAATAAGAGATTGTTAGAAGCAAAAGATTATAAGAAAGGATTGAAAAATTCTGAAAAGTTATTAGAATAGGTTCCAGACAATTAAGAAGTAGTTTCACTTAAAGCTATTTTTATGTACTATAATGATGAGCATGAAGCAGGTCTATCTTTAGCATAATAAGCTGTTTTTAAGAATTTGGCATCTGATTTTTGTTGGCACATATATGGATTAATATAAAAGGAGGAAAAGAATTATATACAAGCTGTTAAATGCTTTATTTAAGCTATAAATAAAGGAGAGGAAAATCTATAATTAATTAGAGATACAGCTAATTTGTCTATACATATTAGAGATTTTGAAGGAAATAGTTAATTAAGACATAAGCTATTAAATAGTAAATCAGGAATGATAGTAAATTGGGTTGGTTTTATTGTAAGTTAACATTTAATTGGAGATTACAAAAGTGCTTTTAATGCTATTAAGTTAACTGAAGAGATTATTAAAAAGGATTATCAAAATCCAATCAAGAAAGTAGAAATCAACGAATTTAAATTATATTAAATATAACTAGCAATAGAAGCCAAAGAATTATAGAGAGCTAAATAATATATAAATGAATTCAAAAAGTAATTGTTTATATTTTATATGATTTAGTGATATTTCAGATTAAGTGTCTTACTATGAACTTCAATATGAATTGTATATAAGATTAGGAGAAAATCGCAATGCAATTGAATCAGTGAAATAATTACTCTAACTTTAACCCTAAAATTGGAAATACTATGAAATGTTGTAAAAGGTTGATCCCTAAGTTGATTTAACCATTTATGATAATACTTTGGTATAAGGACGATTACTTGCATAGTAGAGTGGAGAATCATTTAAAAATAGTTTTAGTTTATTTATTGACCCATTTTTTTAAAAATCTTTGCCTTCTTTATTTAAGGAAATCAAACATCTTTATTTTGATCCTTACAAAATTGAAATTATGTAAAAGGCTTTTGAGTATTATCTAAATAAAAATTCAATGCAATAACTTTGGGCTTTGATGTTGCTTTCTTAACATTATTATTAAATTAAAGATTACACTATTTCACTAGATTTTATCAATAAAGCTATTCAACATACTACAACAATACCTGAATTATACTTAATTAAAGCAAAAGTATTGAATAAGATGTAAAAATTCTAAGAGGCTTATGAAATTGCTAACAAAGCAAGATTATTAGACTTATCAGATAGATATTTAAATAATTAAACCATTAAATATGCTTTATAAGCAAATATGATTTATCTATCATAAGAATTATTAAATCTTTTCTTAAAAGATGATTCAAATCCATATGATTTATAAATGATTTGGTTTGAACTAAATATAGGAAAAGTTCTTTTAAGACTTAATTATCTTGGTCCAGCCTTGTAATAATTTAATCTAATATTTAAATACTTTTAAGAATAATATGATGACTAATTAGATTTTTATTAATATTCATTAAGAAGATTTACATTAAGATCATTATTATAAATGATTAATGCTATGGATAAACGATATGATTCTAAATATTTTATTTAATCTGCAGGTTTGATGATTCAAGCTTTAGAAAGATTAAAATCTAAAATTTAGGAATAAGGAAGATTAGAATAAAAAAAATTAACTCCAAAAGAAAAAAAAATGTTAGCTAAATAATAATAAAAAGAATAGGAAGAAAAAAAATTAAAAGAATAATTTTCAATAGAAGGACATATTTTTAGCAAAGAAATCTAAAAAAAATATGATCTATCTGGTGAATAACTTTTATCTCAATTAAAAACATCTGAAGATATTAATAAAATGTAAAATCGTTTTGCTTAAGTACTTATTCACACTAATTTTAAAAATAAAGAAGTAAATTTTTAAGCTTTTAAATAACTTGTTTCTTTATACATTAATTAATAAAGGCCATTGTTATGTGCTAAATTATTAAACAAATTAAGATGCAATTAAACAGAACAGAATCAAATACTGAATCACAAATATTAATTATTACTAATATAGTTTTGTAAGCCTATTAAAATGTATATATTTAGTAAATCAATATTAAGGAGTACTATAGCCTTGTATAAAAGAATATTAACAAGACTTGATACAGTTTGATTCTTAATTCTGGGATTGTGTTTAAATAAGATCTTAATTAGACTTAACAATAAGTAATTTTTTAAATAATTTAAGAAAGACATTGTGAATCTATTATTAAAGGAATAAGATTCGAAGAGAATTTAGAATCAGATGATTTGGAGTTTCTTAAAGAGTATCCATTAGCAAAAGTAAATTAAATAATTTAATAAAGACTAATAATCCTTACTTTGTTTTTGATCCTAACATTGAATGGCAAAATCAATAGATAAAAGAGTATCTAGAAAAACAATAGACTTAACCTATGTGAATAATAAATAAAGAATATTTAATAGTTTAGTATAAATTTTATTTATTCTCATTATTATTAGTTTTTTTAATTATTATTAGATAAAATTTAATGTCTTAATAAGAATTATTCAAATAAACCACAAATTAGGAAAAACTTTATAAATAAATTATAAAAAATAAAATTTATAATTTATTATTAATTTCATTGAAATATTTAGGAAATGAAATTTAACAAATAACTAGTAAAATTTTGGAATAAAATTAAAAATGTCAATGGAAATAGATGAATTAGCTGAAACAATAATGGATTGTGTAATGAATAGCCATATTATTTCAGAGGAAGGAAGAAGCTATATTGAATAGCATATTCCAACAAAGCCTCCTGAAACTGATATTTAATCAGCAAGATTTGATTTATATGAAAAGACAGGGAAAGAAAGAATTTAAAAAGTAGCCCTAGTATTTAAAACTCATCAAGAAGCAAGAAGGTAAAAATTAAATATTGTATTATAGATGGTATTCATAATTTAAATAGCATGCAACTACTCATTAAAAAGTTCATAAGAAAGCTGCACTTTTGGATAATGTTCTATTTAAATATGGTGATTATGGAAAATCATTATTTTAATATGCAGAATATATATGTGAGTTTATAGATTAATAACCTTTGTGTGTATTCTAACATATGATTCCAGATCATGTAAATCTTAATATAAATTTTAGGATTTAAGATTATCAGAAACTCATCCTTACTATTTTAAAATTCATTGGGCTTTTAGAGGATTTATGACTCCCTAAACTTCAAGTATGGTAAAAGCAGAAAGAAATCCATCTCTTATGAATAAGTTAAAAGATGAAGAAATCCCAAGAAAACTTGTTCCTATAGATACCTATATGCGTTCTTTAATGGATAAAAATAATAATAGCAGTTAAGATGAAGATGATGATGATGATTAATGAATTTGAATTTTTCATATAAATAAATTTATCTATTATAAAAATCATATCCTGAAATCATTTACTATTTATTTAATTAATTAATCAATTAATATTATTTTTGAATAATAATAATTCTGAATATATTTTATAAAATTCAATTCTTCATTAAATAGTTTTATCTAAACCTTTATTTGTAATAAAATTAAAGATTTTAAAAAAGAGATAAATAATTTAGATCTTACAATGCATTTTATTATTTTTTTCAGATCTTTAAAAGGAAACAATGACTGATTTAATATTAATTTTTGATTATTTATTGGTATATAATTACAATAATATTGAGACAGAAAGATGTATTTACCTATATTGTTCTTTGATGGATGACAAGAATTTATTAAGAAGAATCAATTAAATAAATAAGGCTTAATATAAAATTTATTTTACTTAATTTGATCCAAAATATTCAATTGTATCAACTGCAAATCTGATTTAAAGTAGCAATGTTATATATAGATATAATTACTATTTAAACATTCCACTTGAACTTTATTTATAAAGAAAAAAAGATTATAAAATAATATTATTTTCTTCATTCTCAACTGAAAATTAAATTATTTATTAAATTGTTTACTTTAATCAAATTACTGAAAGGATAAAATATATATATATATAATTTAGCTCAATTTAATATAAAAAATTTTGACTAATAATCAAAATTTTTGTTAATATTTTTTAGTAAGTTTGTGGATATAAAAATAAAAAAAAGGGAATAGTAGTGTACATGATTCCTTATTCATTTTAATGTATTTAAGAATCAATTTTTTGAATTTAATATTTAGAACATTAAATGAATATATTACTTTACCTGTAAGAGTTTAATAGATAAAAATTACCAAAACGAAATGGAATCTGCTTATTTGAGTTAATTTTAAAATGATTAAAAAGGATACTAAAAATAAAAATTGATGTGATATTCATACTTTTTATATTTTAAAATTCTAAGATAAAGCCATTTGCTTAAGATTGCTTTTAGAATCTATTTTTTGATTCTATAAAAATGAAAAAGGAATATAGTAAATAATTTGAAGTATTATAAGGAAGTGATTGGAAGAGAAATAAGTCTAGAATAATATGATTGAAAGTAATTATTAAAAATAAATTTTAGAATGGGAAACAGTATAATAATAAATGTTAACTAGATATTTGTGGTTTAGATGAAGAGAAAAAATAAACCCTTTAGCCAGAGTCAAAAGTGATAACAACAAGAACGATTAATTAAACAACGATATAGATTGTATAAGCAGATATTGTAGAAGAATTGGTGGATGTAGTAGGTAAATTAAAAAGTAAATTTTAGTGAATTCCTCTCATGAGCCAGCTTGGTCTTATATATCAAAACGGTAATAAGTTAATAATAAATATGATTAGAGATAAAAACAATAAAGAAAATGAAATCCTATAATAAAGTATAAATGAATTGTATAACAATAGTGAAAATTGGAGAGTTGATAGTAACGAATACAGAAAATGTTAATTCAGTTTAAATATTTCATGTAAGACTGCCATTTTACTAGGTAATAAATTGAGAAATATATTTAAAAGGATGCGAAGGATTTATTACAAATATTTAATGTTTATAAAGAATGCTTATAATAGAAAGGACATAAGACAATATCGTTTACTGAATAGAATACTCCTAATTTTTAGATTCCAAAATAATTCCATGCTGAAGTGTTGATAAGAGCAATACTTTCGTAAAAATATTATAAAATGATTAGATCAATATAAGAAGGGGATGTAGAATTTGAGTTGATAAAGTTTGTGAGTTTAGATTAACTAACACTAAAATATTTTGCTTATGAATTAATGAAATAATTAGACGAATTAAAAATTCCTGAATTATTTAAATAGCGATATCAATAATTTCTTAATTTTTTATGTATAGTATAGGATGAAATATGAATGTAGAGAATGGAGAAGATACAAAATAGGAGGTTTATCTATTGAGTACTGGTATTACTACAGAAATAGAAGGTATTATGGAATAGTGATGACTTTTAATTTCAATATATTATTTATTAGAATTAATATATTATAATCTTTATTTATATATATATAAAATACTAAATCACATAAATTAAACATAAGAAATCATTATTAAAATTGAACCTTTTAAGTAAATTCTATTTCATAACCTGATAAAACTTTGATAAGAGCAATAAATTATTTTCCAGGAGGTAATTCAATATTGAGTGTGACACCTCTGTAAGGCTTACAAAATTTAAGACCATAAAATTTATGAAATGATATTTTGCTTATTAATTTAACATTAGATTAATTATCAATAAAATAATAACCCCATCCATCTAATCTATCTAAATTATAACAACTTTAAATTTTGGGTTATCCCATAGTATCATAACTTCTTTTAGGTTATTATACAAGTCCTTTTTTAATAAACGCACTTGCAAGCATATTAGGAATCTTTTTCACTTATTTAAATTCTAATTTTTCTACTCCATATGAGGAAATTACAAAAAAAAAGTCTTAATGATGTTCCCAAATTACTTTAGCAAAAATTATATATTCTCCTTTAGTAAAAGTGCATTTACACCATACTTCTCCAAATTAAGTAAATTTACCATTGATATAAGTATAAGTATTATTATCTTCTTTTTTGCAAATAAGTAATTTAGAATAACTATATTTTGGATTTCCTGTCCATCTTTAATTTCTTTAATTCATTGTAATATAATAATCTCCTTCCTTACTAATATTAAATGAATAATAGACAGCTCTTTTTTTATTTGATTTTATTTAAGTAGCAGAATATTAATAATTTTATTTAACATGACAAGTATGTATATCTCTAAATTACTAAATAAATGATCCAATATCCATATAAAATACACCAGAATCTTCATTATCTAATTTAAGTTCTTATCTTAATTAAGGAGTCCATAATGAACTATCTTATCCCCAATCACCAGTCCATTCTTTTTTTCCCCAAGGATTTCTTAATTTAATAAGTTCAACTTATCCTTTTTTTGGATGATTGATTTATTTTATTTTAAGAACAGAATAAGCATGATTAGGTACTAAACCTTATGTAATAGGTTAAACATCACTATTTTATGTAGCTGCTACCATAATAACTTTATTAGCTAAACATTTTCTTAATTGATGTATAAAATCAGGTGATTAAGTCCAAATAACTTCTGTTGGTGCTCCTGTTAAAGCTCTTAATACTTCTTACATTGAACCTGATGAACTATTTTAATATGATCCAAATAATTTAGCCCAAGCTTTTTCTAATATCATAACCCAAATAGCATTATTCTTTGCTTTAGTAAATACAGGACATAAATTTGGATAAACTGGAAAATAATCATCTACATATATGGCTTTCCATAATCCATCTATACATAATCTAACACAATATATTCCTTATTCATTTATAGCTCTTGTTATAAATACATCTAATAATAAATCAGGTCTTCTATTTCCTAATGCAGATATTGATGCTAATAAATAACAATTTCCTAATGATCCTTGAATAATATCTTGAGGACCAATATATTTTCCTAAACCAAATCTTTTATTATCATTGGCTTTAGCAAAAAATTAGTAATCTCCATTGAATATTGAATATAATCTTTCCCAACTAACACAATAATTAGAACCTACACTTTTTTCATTAGGACCGAATCTAAGATCAATATAATTTTTTTCTTTAATTTTAAGTTCATCAAAAGTTTTAATAAATTCATTCATATTAGAAATTTACATATGTTATAATGTTACTTCTTCAAATTAAAATTTACTCACTAAAATATCTTATTAATCAGTTGAAGATTATTATCTTTTTAGTTTAAGTTCTTCAACTTCTCCTAATTGAAATTTAACATATGTTAACATAAAATCATTTAATTATTCTTAATTAATTTACCATCCACAATCTTTAACAAAACAAACACAATAATCATCATAATATTTTGAAATACAATGATAACATAATCTATGATCACAGATTTCATTATGAAATAATCCACTATTATTTGAATTACAATAATCACATTTATAAGAGATAGATTCAGTCATTTTATCTTCAATATTAATTTTAACTTCTTATTTTTGTATTTAATTTTAAATATTCTATTGTATCTATTGTTTAGGTAATTACAAACCTACTTTTTATTATTATTGTTTTGGTGATTGCAAATTTTATTATGGCTACTTTTATTGATGTACTTAAGTTTATTATCTTTATTATTTTATTATTATTACTATTGAATCATCTATGTACTTAATTACTATTTCAAAACCCTATCAGTTTATTTCTACATTTAAGATTTTGATTTGTTTTGTATTGGAATTGGAGATCGATCTTAAAATGATTATCTAGGCTAAGTATTCTTCTATTGTTTAATAGGTGTATTAGTATTTTAATTATTCTATTTAACAGTTGCTTTATTCTATTGGGATGGTGATGCTATAATAATAAATTTATTTTACTCATCTTTTTAGGATCTCCTGAAAACATTTATACCTATTTTCCAAACACCATTTAATTACTACCAGATAATTTTTAGAATTGTCTATTCATTAAATCAGATATGTTTAGGAAATAAGAACATTATTTATCTAAACAATTTGCACCTCCTTCTGCTGTTATTTGATCAATACATTTATTGCAATATAGATGACCACATTTTGCTTTATAAGATGCATTCTCCTTTACATCCTATAAACATTTTATACACTTTACAGATTTTATCATAATAAATATTTGTTATTTAAATTCAATTAATTATATAAGATATATTATAAGTCTAAAATGAATTCATTATGGATGGATTTCATCAGATTCTTCATTTCACTATATATTATTCTTCTATTCCAAAACTATATCCTCTATCACAAATACTCAATAAAACTAAGAATTCATCCTACCCACCTAAACTTATTTCTAAACTATCCCCTCTATAAGGTTTTCGAAGTTTCAAACCCTCTAATTTGGTAAATCTCACTTTACTCTCAAAACTCTTACCACTTTTATTTTCAACATAATAAAATCCATAACTATATTATCTCAAAAATATCATACCCAAATTTCAAATTAAATTCATATGCTTACTTTATATCTGGATGCTTCTAATATGATTTCTTTTTACTACTTTTTCTAGCCTAATCAAGAAATGCTTCCCTTAATAAATTATTAATTTTGTTTATCTTATCAATTTGAACTTTATTAGGTCCATATGATGATAAAACATACTTATTCATCTAAGAATACCTCCATTGAGTCTTTACAACTAGAGTATATTTTCCATATTCCAAATTTGCACTTATCCAACATTCTCTCTCACATTTACAATTTCCACTAATCAATTAATTTCCCTTAAATAATAAAATCTTCACAGTAGAGTAATCATTGCTATTCTCAAATCTAATACTTTTATTTTATTTAATACCTAACATTCTTTTAATTTATTGTAAAATAATAACATCCTTATTTATCAATTTATATTAAATAATACTCACTCTTTCTCTTATTTGATTAGATTACCTAGGATTAATACTAATACCCTTCCTTTACAAAGCAAACAGATACATCATCAAAATACTTCAAAAAATCTGTAATACTCATATAAAAAACTCCATCATTATTATTATTTATTTTGAATAATGTTTTTTACTAAGGAGTCCATAATGAACTTTGATTTGACCAATCTCCTTTCCATTCTTCTTTTCCCCAAGGATTTCTGAGTTTAATCAATTTAGTATTTGCATTTAAATCTTTTATTTTTAATACTGTATATGCATGTCCTGATATTAATCCCATTTATTTATATTATTATTTATTTTCATTTTTAGTAGAACAAACCATTATACATCTATTTTAAATACAAGTCTGTAATTCTTCCATGAATTTGTCTTCTTTAGTAAAAAGAGTCTTAGTAGCTGCTCCTGTTAAAGTTCTTAATACTTCTGTAGGATAACCAGCTTCAATATTCTCATAAGAACCAAATACTTTAGCCCAAGCTTTTTCAATTACCATAACCCATATCTCTTCATCTTTACCTCTAGTAAATGCTGCTTAATCATACCATGTAGGAATATAATCATCCATTCCTATTACTTTCCATTCTCCATCTATACATAATTTAACACCATATAATCCATTAGGATTGAATGTTCTAGTAACAAATGTCTCCAATAATAAATCAGGTCTTCTATTTCCTAATGAACTTATTGATGCTAAAAAATAACAATCTCCCAATTATCCTTACTGTAAATCATCTGGAGCTATCCATTTACCTAAACCAAATCTATTCAAAGTGTTTTCTTTCACAAAGAATTTTGGATTCTTTATAAATTCAGGTATTCTTTTCCATTTAAACTTTTCTAATTTCCTTCCTAAACTTTATTAATTTGGAGGAAATACACTATCTGTATAATATTAATTCTAACTCTTTAGTTATTAATATTTCTAAATAAATTCTTTCATTGCTACAACATTCTAATCTTAAACATAAAGTTCTTAAAATTAAAAATTTGATTATAATAATTTTTAATTTGCTGGATTCTCATAATAATTAGATTCCATAATATTCTATCCTATTACTTATACTTAAGATTCACAAAGTCTCTTAAACTAAAATGCTGTCAATTCCTTATTCTATTCTTTAAATACCCAACATATTAGTTCTTTTAATTCTTATTCATTAATATCTTTTATTACAATCTAAATCATATTTTTAAATTCAATCTCATTCATCTTATGATCTTTATCATTATCATATTTATTGAATACATCAATAATATCAATATTTGCATTTTATAATTTTGAACTAAATATTTATATTAATTCTATTGAAGATCGATTATAATATTTCTAATCTACCTTATTTTATGAATCTAATCTCTATTCTCTTGTAGGAATTATATTTATTTACTAAGGCTATTTAAAATTTTAATCAAATATAGGCTTCCTATCATGCTACGCTTAAACTGGATTCCCTTCATTATATTAATTAGAAAGTTAAGAATTCATCTCTTTCATAAAGTTATTTTGTACATTTATTTTAAACTATATAGGAGAATTTAATTCTTATTAAGTCATTTAAGATTCTATTTTATTCATTAATTACTCAAAATTCTCACTTGTCAATATTTGTAATTCAAATCGCTTTAGAATAAATGAAAATGACTTCTCTATTATTTAATCCTAAGCAAAAGGCAAAATTTTTTTCACCATATACAAATATCCAAATAAATCCAATCCTTTACTACCAGGTTTAACAAAGTAATTTACTACATCTGTTGGATTTTGTTTTGTTTATTTACAATGTTTACACAAATCCATAAATAGTATCATTACTTAGGCATTTATTTATTTCTCAAACATATATAAAATTATATAACTATATATTTCAAAATCAAAGAATGGCAGTTTCTCTATCATAGATATTAATTTCATCTAAATATTTCAATTCAAAAACTATATTAGGTTTTATTACCAATTAATCCTCCTCATGTTATTTATACTTTTATGGATGATCTTCTTCAAAAATGATATTTATAATTTGATAAATTTAGTCTAACAAGAAAAATACTTTATTTTCGAATTCTATTTTACATTTATCAATAATAAAACTCTTTTCTTCAACTCCAAGTTTTACGATGCTTTTATATATAATTTTTTTCGCTCTTTCTAAATTTAAAACTTCTTGCTTTACATTTAAATGTTTGATACTCTTACTTTTACTTAATTTTTCAAAATAGTATAGCAACTAATTTTATTTCTAAAAACTTAGAAAAATAAATTCTCTATTCTTTTCATTTACAATAAAATATTAGTTTATGATAAACTAAATAATGATATTTGTTATTCTCTTAATTTGGCCTTAGTTTTCCTTTTAATATTTTTAATCAAATAAAATTCTCAGAAGCAATTCCAAGTTGATAATATTCATAATTATGATTGGTAAATAAAATAAAATAAGTTTTGATAAAATTAACTTATTCTAATTTTGAATAACTATCATGAAAATTTGAAACCTTAAATAACTAGTTATAGGCAAATAATTCTTCAACTAATGCAACAAAACAACTGAACTGGTAATTATTTTATTATAATCGACATGTAACTTTTTGATAACAAAATAGAATTTCTTCATTTTCTTTTTTAGTCTTTTTGTATCAATAAAAATCAACTCATCTAAGCACTACTTTTAATAAAGAAAAACGTTGAATTTCTGGAACATCAAATTACTCAAATATAAATTATGCTATTTTAATAAGTGTATTCGAATAGCACTCTATTTTAAACTGTTATAGGGCTTTCTTAATAACAAAACTGTTCTAATAATAAATTAAAAAAAACATCTCTTACTATTGATTTAATTTCATAATAAAAATAATTTAACCTACTTTCGTTCTAAGATCCAAATCAATTAGGCAATGTAAATCCAATATTTTTCCATTCAAAAATGCATTTCTAATATATGATGAGACCATACTAGAGTTTCAATTATGTAATTTCTAATGCATTATAAATAAATTATTAATTTTTCAATTTTTAATTAAGGTTCTGATATTAGAAAAATAATATTTATCGTTTTCTTTAATAAATCATAGCTCTTTCTTATAAGATTAAACTTTTGAAATTATTTTCATATTCAAAACTAATAACGCGAAATTAACTTAAACAATTTAATCATATTATATCTTTATTAATAAATAACATTTTCGATTGTATTTAAAAATATTTTTTAATATTTTTCTATCATCTGCTCAATAAAAAATTTAGTTTTATTTAACATAACATAAGCTAATACTAATTTTGTATAATTTTTTATTATATAAATTATTTTTAAGAATTTCCCCAAAATTTTGGTGAATTTTCTTTGTTTGATTATTTATAAATTCTGTTTCAGGTTATATTAATCGCATAATTTAGATGCAATGACATTTAATAAATAATGATTTTTTATAAATGTAATTTTCTAATAAATGTGACTAAATGTTGTTTATAAACCAAAATAAATAACTAAATTAAAGAGGATAAAAAAATTAGAATATAAAAAATCGAATTTTTTTTTGGTGGAAATACTTTTATCATTAAAATTTTCTTAACATTGATTTCTAGTTTTAAAAATAATTTATATTAGATTTTCATTTAGCAATTTTTTTTTAATTTTAGCTATTTCTTTTAATTAATAATGTTTATGTTATGTTAGTTTTTTGAATTTTAAAGTTTTATAGACTTTTTTTTAATTTTGTGATTTAAAGTTTAATGCAAAATCGAACATATTAATGCAGATAATGGTTTTTTTCAAAAAAATTGGTTTAAATAATTATCTTTAAATTATAGGAATAGAGATTTTATTATTTTTATATTTGATATTATGTAATACATTATTAAAATATAACAAAAAATATTAAATTAAGAAATGAATTAAAACAAAAATACATATGGTTCCAAAATTGTAAAACTTTTAATGATTAATCATCTAACTGGATATCTTGAATTAAATCGAATATTTAAAGGTCCTTCTCTATAAGGCTATCCATATATTTTTCCTAGATTAAATTTGCCATAATTATAATGATTGGTGTTATGGGATAATTAAAAAGGAGGAGGAGATCTTTATAAAGTCAATTCATTATGATTTCGAATTTCATTTCTTATTAGAGTTCTATCATCTACTAATTATCTATTTTCTAAAACTCTTTTATAAGCCGAGTCAATTGTAGTGTTTCTTCTAATTTCTTAACCTTAATTAGGAATGTGTTTCTCCATATTTAAAAAAATTTTATTTTATCCTTGATAAGTTTATTAGTATGACTGAGGCTTATCATTATAATAAGAAGACTTTATAGTAGATTCAAAAAAATATTCTTCTTCTAATGGAGTTTTTTTTATAATAAGAGTTTTTTTTGTTTATTTTTGTAATCCTTCTTCACATTGTGGACAATCATTAAATTTAATTAATATACAACAAACTCCAATTTCATGTAATTTACAGTTTATCTATTATTTTCTGTTGAAAATAGAAAATTCTTGATTACATTTTGTACAATTTCCTCTATAAAATTCAGATTCCTTTTCTTAGGCTTAAATGATTTCTTATAATTATTAACTGATAAAAAATTCTTCTTCAGAATCCATTTCTTTAAAAGAATGAGCTTATTTTTCCATATTCAAAAATGAATCAAAAGGATTCAATACTTTTGATCTATTTGAAACAATTATTTATTTTTATTCTTTTGGTTGTAAAAGGATTTCCTCCTTTTTTGAATTTACTTATTCAAATTATTTGATTTCCTTTATAGTGATTACAGAATTTTAAGCAGAAATAGATTTTTCTTCCTCATTTTTATTATCTTAGTCTTAATTTCTTTAGTTAAGATTAGTTTATTCAATAACCTTTGCTTCTTCTTTCTAAACAATTTGCTTTCTCTATTTATCTATTGTAGGCTCTTCATTAAGATTTTATATTATATTCTCCTCTTTTTTAAGTTAAATTTCTTTACTTTCCTATATAACTTAATCAATAATAAATTTATTCAAATTCTCGATCAAGTATACAGAATTCTAACAAGATTCTACCAAACATCTTTAAATTTTTCCAGAATATATTTTCTAGCAACAAATTAAACAAAATTTATGCCCACATCTCAATTCAAATAAATTTGGTAAGAGAAATGAATTTTTGCAACCTTCACATTTTAATTAAATAGTTTTGCGAAAATTTTGATATTCTTCAACTTAAGATGCTTAAATACAACATCTCCTTAAAAGCGAGTTTTTAATAGCGCATGTTAAACATATAATATGACCACAATTAAGAACATATTTTATATCTTCCTTTTGTATTTTAAAACAATTATCACATTCAAATTATTAATGGTTTTGGTTTTGTTGAGAAATATTAACATTTGTTTAAATTACTTCTAATTTTGAGAGATCCTATAAATACTAGATATAATTTTTATATTCCTATTTGGTAAATTTTTAATTACAATCTCTTATTAAACAATTATAAGATAAATTAAAATTTATATCTATTCCTTGTAAACAATTATTGCATATTTTATGATTACATTTTTTTATTTAAAATAGTTTCTAATTTAAATTTATTTTGCATTTAGAACATTATTCAAATATTCTTCTTTCTTATTCTTTAGGATAGTTTGAATTTAATTAATTTTATTTTTCAGATTAATTTAAAACTTCTTTATCTTTAATTTCTTTTTCAAATTTCATTAAATAATTTTACACCTCACCTTAATCCATCTTCTCCGTACATGTAGTAATTAGACATTAAATATCATTTCTATGTGAATGCATACAATCATAACAAAACTTATGATTGCAATTTTTAAAAATAAATAATTTATTTTAATATTTTCTTTAACAATTATTACATTCTTATATAGGATCAGCTTGAATTAATTTGTTTTTATTGCTATCATTCTTTTATACTGATTTTAATGAATTTTGAACTGATAATTTTGTACTTTCATAATATTATTACAAAGCCTTACTTCTTTGGTTTAATTCTTTAATTTTATCTAATTATTCTAATTTAATTTATAATTATGATGAATTATACCATTTATTGCAACACTTGATTCTATTTGAATTAGATTTTTGGATTATACATTTACAACAAAGTTTGTGTTTGCAATCCAGTATAATCATATCAGTATTATTTTTGCAAAGTTAGCAAAATTGTTATGGTAAGTCTTAGATTATAATTTAAGGAATTAAATAAAAGAATTTTTTATTATTTTCCAATAAGATTTCTATTAATTATGATTCAAATTTTTCATTACTATTCAGAAATGAAAACCTTAATGATAAGAAATTGACTAAACTTTAATTTAATTTTAAAATCATTCCCTTTTTCAAAGAAAGTTCAATTAATATATTTTGAGCATATTCATTTTTTAAGTCTATTAGATAAAGATTTTAAAAGAACTTTTAGACAGGATTCAACTAATTTTTAGTTTCTTTAATTAAATTTGCAATTTTGTTGTAATTTGATAGATTTTTAGAAGAAGTTATAAGTTCTTAAATACTATCTAGAATATATTAATATTTTCTAATGAATGAATAATGTATTATGGAACATAAAATAGCAACATCTTTATTTAATCCCATGTATTGTAAATATGAGTAATTTATTAGAGATACATTTTCTAGTTTTTCTTGTTCTGTTATAGGGCGTATATAATAAAGTTAAACTTCTTAAGACATTTAATTATAATAATTTTATTTTTTATAGAATTAGAATTATGTTATATGATAGTTAAATTGTATATTTGAAAACAAAATAGGGTTTTGGAATATAATCAATCATGTTTTTCTTCTTTTTCATTTTAAGAGAGTGGTAAATATATGGATTTTATTTCTTTAACTTTTTAAATAGAATACAAAATTGATCCAAAATAGCTAACAATGATTCCAGCAAGAATTTAAAAGTCATATTCTTCTTTTAAGAAAAAGAAAGAGTAGGAAGTAATTAAAATATCTTTAATATTATGAGTTATTGCAATAGCAATTGGAGAATTGTACATATTGCATAAATTGGTTGAATAACACAACATGAATCCCATCAATGAAATTAATGTAAATGCAATGAAGAATTTTTCATTTAAGTACTAAGAATTCATAAAATCATGCAATTCTTTGCTTGCATATGCTCCAATAAATAAAAATGGAATTTAATTACAAGAATTTTAAAAGAGTAATTCTAGAGGATCGATTTATTTTTCATAATTCAATTATTTCGATTTATGTAAAGCAAGAGCATTGAAAACGTTATTTAAAAGAATTAGTCCATAACCTAAATAGTTTACATCTAAATGTTCTTAACCTTTAAATATTACATATGTATAGTACCAGCTATTATTGCTCCAAGAGTTATAAAGATTACAGACATAAAATTAGAAATCTTCCAATTCTTTTACATCATGAACACAAATAAAATTAGAGTTCTTCTTAATGTCATGTACATTGAGATGTTCATTATTTATAATCCTTTCATTCCTGAAAAGGTTGACAAGCAATACATTAATGAATATAATAAAGTATCTTTCGATGTATGATTTCTTTTTCCCATTAACAAACAAATTATAGTTGTAAGAATATTCTCATACAATAATAACTCTAAATTAATAAAGTACTTTACCATGAATATCATTCTGAATTGAAACTTAATCCATAAGTATTTCAAACTTAGAGAAAAACAAAACGAACATCCTCCATATAATATACAATAAAACAAACCTAATATATGTTACATATTATAAATAATGAAGAATTTACAAGAAATGTTTTAAGATTCAGAGGACAACTATATTAACCAATACTGCACACCTGTAAGGATTTTAGGGTAAGGGGCATTCTCAGTAGTGGTTGCAGCTTAGAATTAGTTGTCAAATAAATCAGTAGCGATAAAAATAATTGAGAAATAGAATTTTGATGTTTAGCAATTAGAAGTCTTGAGAAAAGAAGCTCAACTACTTAGTTAATTACAACATCATAATATTGTTCGTGCTACATTTGTATTTTAAAACATGAATAATAGAATAAAGAAACAAAGAACAAACTATATATAATGATGGATCTCAT